TGAAAGCCATCAGGCTTCCGCTAATAGTCTCTTCAAGGCCTTTCCAGCTTTTGCCACCTTCCCCCACCAGCCCCAAAGTCATGACCACATGTTTTATGTTTTGTTGCAGTAGTACCCCACTTCTAGGTACAAACATATGTTTGCTTGGCTATAATTCTGTAACAGACCACCCTAAACTTAGTGGTTTTAAATAGCATAATTATTTTATGATAATAAGTGCCATTTAATGTTGTATAACTTATATAAGCAAAAATCACCAAGCACTTTGAGAGGGCATGAGGATTGCTTGAGGCCAAGGGTTCAAGACCAACCTGGGCAATATAGTGAGACCTGTCTCTACAAAAAAATAGCCAGGCATGTTGTTGGACGCTTCTTGGGAGGTTGAGGTGGGAGGATCACTTGAGCCCAGGAGTTTGAGGTTGCAGTGAGCTATCATCATACCACTGCACTCCCTCCTAGGTGACAGAGTAAGAGCCTGTCTCTTAAAAAAAAAATCGACCAGGCACAGTGGCTCACGCCTATAATCCCAGCATTTTGGGAGGCCAGGATGAGAGAATTGCCTGAGTTCAAGACCAACCTGAGCAACTTGGCGAGACCACATCTCTACAATAAGTCAAAAATTAACTGGGCATGGTGTCGTGTGCCTGTAGTTCCAGCTGCTTGGAAGGCTGAGGCAGAAGGATTGCCTGAGCCCAGCAGGATGAAACTTCGGTGGCCGTGAGCATGCCACTGTACTCCAGCCTGGGTGACAGAGTGGGACTCCAACTCAAAAAAAGAAAATTATTTTATTTATATACTTGAAATACTATATTTTCACTCCTTAGATTATCAGTGATTAAAAAATTGTTAAAGTGTGTTGGAAAAGATGTGAGGAAACATACATTTTAATTTTAAGAATACTTTTTAAAAGTACCCAAAATTATGTATGCACGGTGTTATTCAGTCTTCATTACTTATTATAACAAATTTAGAAAGACATCTCAATGTCCATCAGTAGGGGGCTTGTTAACAATGCGTTAAGTAACATCCATACAGTGGAACACCTAATTGCTGTAAAATCCCATAGGAAACTGTCCGTAAACTGATACACAGTGATCTAAAATAAATGTTCTTTTAAAAAACTTTAAAAAATGTATTAGTCATAATAACAACCTCAGAATTACTTACTGTTAAAGCAGCAGTTCTTAAAATGTGGGCTGAAGAACCCTTTAAGGGTATCCATGAGGTCAAAACTGTAAGATACATATTATTGAATGGACTTTATAGAGAGCTGGATGTATATTACGGTATTATTTGTTCAAAGGTGGGGAAGGTTGGGAGAATATGCATGCTGTGTAAATATAAATAAAATGTCTCAGTAAAAACAAGAAACTGATAGCATCAATTGCCTATGGAGTAAGGAGGTGGGAGAAAGAAGTGGGAGGGAGGCTTCACCCGACACATAAACCTTTCGCACTTTTATTTAAAATGTCAGATTTTAAATTGTTTAATACTAGCAACGATTTGCTTATAGTCAAATGAAATATATTTTGTCAAAGGGAGGATAGAGGGTCAAGATAAAACAAAGTAGAAGATGGATAAAGAAACAGGTTTAGGCCAGGCGTGGTGGCTCAAGCCTGTAATCCCAGCACTCTGGGAGGCCAAGGGGAAATGAGTGCCTGAGCTCAGGGGTTCAAGACCAGCCCAGGCAACTTGGTGAGACCTTGTCTCTAGAGTAAATCAAAAAATTAGCTGGGCATGGTGGTGCATGCCTGTAGTCCCAGCTACTTGGAATGCTGAGGTGGAAGGATCACCTGAGCCCAGTAGGTCAAGGCTGCAGTAGCTATAAGTGTGCCACTGCACTCCAGTCTGGACGACAGAATCCGACTCAAAAAAAAGAAAGAAAGAAAGAAACAGGTTTAAAAATACTCATGTGAATTAGGGCGTCCTCAAACTCTAGTGTTGAATCTGTCTCTGAATTACCTGGAGTCAGTTATTCGTTATTATGCTTGCTGCTTGATATTCCAGTTAGCTAGTTGTCCACTGTTGGTTTATTTTTTTAATTTTTAAAATTTTTATTTATTTATTTTAATACACATTTTTTAATTTTAAAATTGTGGGAATAATTTTTATTGTTTATTGTTTTGAGTCGGGGTCTCACTCTGTCACCCAGGCTGGAGTGCAGTGGCATGATCGTGGCTCACCATAGCATGGACCCCCTGGGCTCAGGTGATCCTCCTGCATCAGCCTCCTGAGTAACTGGGACTATGGTTGTGCACCACCATGAGCAGCTGTTATCCACTGTTAACAGTGCCTTAGCTTTTGACATGAATACCTATTTATATATGGACAGGTAAAAACATACAACCTTAAATAAAACACAGCTTTAATGGTCTCTTAATATTTTCTTCTTAAGTCACAAAAATGGACTGTTGAAATATAAAATTAAACCAGGCTCGGTGATTCACACCTGTAATCCCAGCACTTTGAGAGGCGAGAGGATTGCCTGAGTCCAGGGGTTCGAGACCAACCTGGGCAACTTGGCGAGACCTCATCTGTACAATAAATTAGCTTGGTGTGGTGGTGTGCGCCTGTAGTCCCAGAGTCAGTGAGACTCTGACTCAAAAAGAAATATAAAAATAAATACAGTTCTTTTTTACAGTTTTATACTACCTGCTTTACAAAATAGAAGGAAGACATCCTTATTCAAAGCTGTTCAGAAATGTTGAGAATTTTACACTTTAGGTAATAATTGAAATATTTTTGAAAAATGCCAATTATATCTGCTTTACATGTTTTAAAACATCTGAGTTTTTTTGTTTGTTTTTTCCAAAATGTGTTGAGAACATTAGATGTTTATTTCTAGGCTTTGGCAAATATAATGTAAATTACAGCTATGCTTCTAGAGTAATTTAATGTGTCCTGTGATCATGTGATATATTCTCTTAAAACCAAGATACTTCTATTTTGTTTTTAATTTTTTAATTTTTATATTTTATTTTAACAATGTGGTGTACAATTCAAGATTAGGTATACAAGTGGACATAATACAGTTAAAGTTTGGGCCTCCCTTTGGTAAAACTAAAATGCTTTTAAGAGGAAGTTTGTGTTGTTCTGATATTCCTTAGACACAGTTTCATTAAAGAACCTAGGGAAAGCATTTTTCCCTTTGACTTGTTACAGCTTTATTTTTCTACTTGATATAAAAAAAGATCTTTTTGTGGATGTAGTAAGTTTGAAGTTTCAAATTGATACATATGAATGGTTTTAGGTTTGTGAAAACCTTCTCCAGATCCTATTTAGATGCTCATTTATTGGCTTAATTTAGCAGATCCACATATTGTTAAAAACATTTAGGTGTTCTTTTATTTTTATTCAAACCAGTTACTGAGAAAAAAGGATCACTTGAGTCCAGCAGATCCGGCTGCAATGGTCTAGGAGTAAGACCGTGTCAAAAAAAAAAAACAACAACAACTCACAAAGCATATAGCCCTGATCATTTGCTTTTATGTAAGGATAGACTAATTATATGGAGATAGGTTTGCTTGAGCATTTATAACAGTTAAAATGTTTTTCTTAAAGCAGTTGCTTTTAGTCTAACAACAGACTAGAATAAACCAAAAACGAGCTTTTATTTTTGTTTGTTTGAATCAGAGTTTCACTCTGTCACCCAGGCTAGAGTGCAGTGGCGTACTCACGGCCACCGCAGCCTTGGCCTGCTGGGCTCAGGCAACCCCTCTGCCTCAGCCTTCCAAGTAGCTGGAACTACAGGCACATGCCACTACGCTGGGCTAAATTTTTTTTTAATTTTTTTATTGTAGAGACCAGGTCTCACCAAATTGCCTAGGTTGGTCTCAAACCCCTGAGCTCAGACAATCCTCTAACTTGGTCTCCCAAAGTGGGGGATTGCAGGCATGGGCCATCATGTCTGGTGTAATTCTTTTTTTATTTATTGCAGAGTGAGGTCTTGCCACGTTGCCCAAACTGGTCTTGAACCCCAGGGCTCAGGCAGTCTTTTCCCCTCTGCCTCCCAAAGTGCTGGGATTAACAGGTGTGAGCCACCATGCCTGACTGAACTTTTTTTTTTTAATTTTTAAAATTTATTTTATTTTAAAGATGTGGGGTACAATTCAGGATTAGGTATACAAGTGGTCATCATATAGGTAAAATTTGGGTTTCCCTTTGGTCCCCACTTTGCCTGTTTTTAGAGACAGGGTCTTGCTCTGTCACCCTGGCTGGAATGCAGTGGTGCAGTCGTAGCTCACTGCACCCTCGAACTCTTGAACTCAGGTGATCCTTCCATCTCTGCCTTCTAGTAGCTTGGACAACTGCATTCATTTTTTGAAGAGACAGGGTCTCGCTATGTTGCCTAGGCTGATCAAGAACTCTGGTCTCAAGTGATCCTTTCACCTTGGCCTCCCAAGATGCTAGGATTGTAGGTATGAGCTACCATGCAGGGCCTCCAAGAATGCACCTTTAAAAGAATGCCTCTAGGAGTTGACCAGCTGCATAGTTAGCTTAGAGAAGGGAAACTTGGTTTTCTGGATAAATTAGGCTGAGGTCAGATCTCTCCCTTGAGTGTGTATTTTATAATTTAGCTGGGCCCTGTAGGTGATTTTTTATAATTTAGCTGGGCCCTGTAGGTGATTTTTCTGATATCTAAATTAAGTTTACAGAGTAAATATAGATGTTTTTGTTAATAAAGCATATGACAAATACCAATTATATTTAAGAAATAACTAACATGCGTAACACCTGAAGGTGCTAATTGGTCACAGTCTGATAATTGTTTTAATATTTTAATATTAAAAATACTGCTGCATGAGCCTTGGGGTGCAGACAGCATCACTGGTTTTAAGAATCTATAAATTTTTTTTCATAGTAAATTGACTTCTGAAAATAATTATTTTTGTTTAATGAAGACATTTGTAATAAAAATATTATTTCTGTATTACCAAAACTAAAAGCTTTCTGGTTTCCTTTAACTGTATTGGCTCTGATGTTTTCTCCTTCTTCTTTAGAGTTGTCTTTGTGGGAAATTTGTCCTCCGTCCACTGCGACCATGCCGTAGATACTCTACTTCAGGCAGCTCTGGGTATGTAGTATGTTTCCCTATAACCAGACTTTTCACTACTGTGTGTATGCGTGTGTGTGTGTGTGTTTGTGTTTCTTGAATATGGGAATAGCTGCTAAAACTTTAAAAACTTTTTTCTTTGTAAAGTCGGATGTCTTGCTCTTTTACCCAGGCTGAAGTGCAGTGGTGGAACTGTGTAGCTCACTGCAGCCTTGTATTCGTGGACTAGAGAGCTCCTCTTACCTCAGGCTCCCTGATAGCTAGGACAACAGGCACTTGGTCTCAAACTCCTGGCCTCTAGCAATTCTCCTACCTCAGCTTTTCAAAGTGCTGAGATTACAGGAGCCACTGCACCTAGTCTCTTAAGCCTTTTTTTTAAAAGGGGTAATATACAGCCAGGTGCGGTGGCTCATGCCTGTAATCCCAGCACTTTGGAAGGTCAAAGTGAGAGGATTGCTTGAGCCCACAGGTTCGAGAGCCTGAGCAGCCTGAGCAGCTTGGTGTGAGACGTCATCTCTACAATAAATCAAAAAAATTAGCTGGACATGGTGGCGTGTGCCTGTATTTCCAGCTACTTGGGAGGATCACCTAAGCCCAGCAGGTTGAGGCTGTGATGGCTGTGAGCATGCCACTGTACTCCATCCTGGGTGACAGAATGAGACTCTGACTCAAAAAAAAGAAAAAGAAAGCAAAGGGGTATATACATTGAAGCTTTTAGGTAATATTGTTGGGGTACCTTCTGAAGCATTAGTTATATTTGTAGGTGAATATTTGTCAGTGGTGCACCTTTTGGTTCTTTGGCAACCAAGACAGATCCCCATGTGCTCTTTTCCACTTTATGGCAGATATTAATAGATTTACAACCAGAGCTCAGTATGTTCCATAACTCGAACAAGTATTTGTTCTATTTGAAATTTTGCAATTTCTTGTGAAGAGTTTATTTTATTGTATTTATGTAAATATTTAGTTAAGGGAGAGGAGCTTTGAAAGTTAATGATAGCTCTTTTTTGGGTTCAAAGGAATCTCATGATTGTGAACATGTTGAGTTTTAAGTGTTAAAAATGGTAGATTGCTGCATTCTTTGCATCCTAGATGTTGTATTTTTAAACATTGTCATTCATGAATAAACATTTTTAATTGCAGACATATTAGAAACAAATCGGGAAATGGTGATTTGCAGCTGTGGTGGTAAACCTGGCTGCTGTGATCTGCATTGGTGGTAGAGAAGTAGAGGTTAGAGGTCTTTGAGACTCTCACACTGGTAAGGAAAGTAGGTGCAGGAGAATTATCAATGTGTTTCCCATTTCTTTCTCTTAGGTTGACTGCTGGAAAAATTGCTGGAGCTGGCCTTTTGTTTGTTGGTGGAGGTATTGGTGGCACTATTCTGTATGCCAAATGGGATTCCCATTTTCGGGAAAGTGTAGAGAAAACCATACCTTATTCAGACAAGCTCTTTGAGATGGTTCTTGGTTCTGCACCTTATGATGTTTCATTGCCAAAGAAGCCGGTAAGAATTTTAAGTGACATTTCAATTTATCCAGTGGAAAACTTAAAAGCAAGTTGTTTCCTAGTATCCATAGGGAAGTCGTTCCAGGACTTGCTGACAAAAATGCCACAGATGCTTAAGTCACCGATAAAAAGTAATATAGTATTTGCATATAACCCATGCACGTGCTCCATATACTTCACATCATCTCTAGATTCCTTATGATACCTAATACTATGTAAATGTTATGTAAATAATTGTTAGACTGCATTGTTTGGTGATTCATAAAAAAAAAAAATCTGTAGATTTTCAGTACAAACACAATTTTTTTGTTGTTGTTTGAGTTGGAGTCTGACTCTGTCACCCAGGCTGGAGTGCAGTGGCACACTCATGGCCACTGTAGCCTCGAACTACTGGGCTCAGGTAATCCTTCCACCTCAACCTTCCAAGAAGCTGAAACTAAAGGCATGCGCCACCATGCCCTGCTAATTTTTTGATTTATTGAAGAGATGAGATCTCACCAGGTTGCCCAGGTTGGTCTTGAACCTGTGGACTCAGGCAGTTCTCTTACCTCGGCCTTCCAAAGTGCTGGGATTATAGGTGTAAGCCACCACGCCCAGCCACAATTTATTTTTTAAATTATTTTGACCCACAGTTGGTTGAATCCAGATGCAGAACCCATGGATACGGAAAGCTATTTTGTATGTATAATTCAGTGCAACTTGCTAGATGTATGTTTGTAAGTTCTCTTTGACTAATAGTAATCTGTACAGATGGATTTTTATCTTTTTGAGTACATACCACCTAGAAAACAGTTGTCCAGTACAGAAAGGTAAATGGAGAAGGAGCAGAGGTAATCATGGTTGCCCTGTAGACTGAGAGAGATCTGTATGTAAGCCCACACCGTTGCACCTATCAAGCTCTTACTTAGGACTCTTGACACAGAAATATGAAGTAGTCATGACAGAACACATCTATTATGGTTAGTAATGACTTCTTTTAAAACATAAAACAAAGTCACGTATCAGCTACATGCTTATTGGCTGACAGGAATATCTTCTAGTATTTCTGGAACTTTGTGCATATCTTCAGTTTCACTCTTTTTTCTCCACCAGGCTTCAAACATCTTAAAACTCTCAGCTTAAATATTTCTTCAGTCAAACACAGCTTCTTTTTGCGGGGTAGGAGGGTGTCGGCGTCTCACTCTGTTGCCCAGGCTGGAATGCAGTGACATGCTCATGGGTACCATAGCCTCCACCTGCTGGGCTCAGGCAGTCCTTCCACCTCAGCCTTCCACGTAGCTGAAACCACAGGCCTGTGTCATCGTGCACAGCTAACTTTTTTTTTTTAATTTGTTGTAGAGATGTAGTCTCATCACGTTGCCCAGGCTAGTCTTGAACTCCAGGGCTCAGGCAATCCGCTTGCCTCTACCTCCTAAAGTGCTGGGATTACAGGCATGAGCCACTGTGCCCTGCCCAAACACAGCTTCTTATAATAATTTTTTTAAAAGAGCGTGGATTTTTGGCTCTTTGGTATTGGGCATTTCTTTACGAGGCTGGACATGGCTGATCTGTTCATTCTTAGAAATTGAGCGGACCTCTTTTCTTCAGTATCCAGCATGGTCTACAGACTAGTCCTATAACAAAGTTAACATTTGGAAAAGCAGATGTCCTCTAACTTCATCTTCATAACCCACCCCAACCATACTTTTTCAAAATGTTTTTGGCTAATCTTCTACATCATGGATTCCTCCATATCAAGTTTAAAATGTCTATACTGGCTGAGGGAGACAGTTTTGCAGCTTTGTTAGTCAAGAAGCATAATTCTGTAAATTTCTTCTAAAATCCTGCGTCTATTTTAAGCTACATGACCCAGGAGAGATAGCTAGAAGCAGTCCTAGGAGCAAAGAGAAAGGCAGAAAAAGTCAGAGCGATGTCTTTTCTCACTTGACTTGGCTTCAGATGTCATCCTTTGCAGATGTATCTTTTCTCGCCAAGTAGCCTTGGCTTCTCCTCACTTCCCCTCAGCTGCCTTGCAGACCAATCCTGTATAGTAACTCAGCATGTCCATATCATACCATCTTCATATGTATACTCTTTCTGATTTGCTTTTTTGTATTAAAGGTAGTACCAAGCTGTCAGGTGTAGCTAGGCTAGCCTTCTTGGATTCTTCTTCAAAGGTTGCCCATATTTTGCTATCTATCTTATTTTCTTTAATCTTCTCGCATTACCACTATCCCCACACCTATTTTGATTTTTATCACTTTATGTCCAAATTATCTTCTGAACCAGGCCTGTTGCCTTCACCACACGCATAATCGCTCCCGTTTTTCTCTTAGTCTTACTCCTTAGATCTGTCCTTCTAACAGAATCTAGGTCATCCTCTTAGCGATACCAGAGAATCTTCCAAAAGAAGTCTATCATGTGTTCATAATTCCATGATACCACTTAGTAGACAGTGCCGAGTGTTTAAAAGATAGAAGACCAGCAATCTCTGATTAAAAACTAGAGAGAGACCTTAGAGATTGTTTTGCGATCTCTGAATAAGGACAGTCAAGAGAGGAGTGGTTGAATGTTAGCCTAGGAACCAGCCACTGTGTTCATTTCTGTAGTTCATGGTCTTTGCTAGTTCTTGGGTTGTCGTTCCATACCCTTAGCAATCTGGTACTTATTTACCTTTGCGGCTTTCTCTCTGAATGGCCCTGCACATAAATCCTTATTTAGCACTATGCCATTTTGCCCTTTCAGATTTGTCTTGTGCTTTCCATTCACCCATGGGTTCAATAAATGTCAGTCAAGTGATTGTTTTTTTTTTTTTTTGAGTTGGAGTCTCACTCTGTCACCCAGACTGGAGTGCAGTGGCATGCTCACAGCCACCCCAGTATCGACCTTCTGGGCTCAGGTGATCCTTCCACCCCAGCCTTCCAAGTAACCAGAACTACAGGTGCACGCTACCACACCTGGCTAATTTTTATATGTATTGTAGAGATGAGGTCTCGCCAGGATACCCAGGCAGTCTCTAACCCATGGGCTCAGGCATTCCTCTCATCTCGACCTCCCAAAGTGCTGGGATTATAGGCTTGAGCCACCGCACCCGGCCAAATTTTTTCACTTCTGAATTACAATGGCAGTGTTTTTATTTTTTTGCCATTTGTTCAGCATCTCTACTGTTGTACATTGTTACCAACATGTTGCTATTTTATGGTGACTTCTTTAGTGCCAACGTAGTTACACATAGGCAGTAAGTATTGAGAGAATATATACTACCTTTGCATAAAATCTTTTTGATAGACATGGAATAAGACCTGCCTAAGTGGACACGGATGTTATGACCCTGGCTGAACTTAATATCCTAAAGCTGCCATTTCTCTCAAATATATATATTTCTCTTAAATATATATACATTTGCAAGAAATGAAATTGTTATGGTGTATGTGTTACACGAATATACAAATCTAGTAGGAATTCAAATGGATTTTTCTAGAAGATGGGAAGCTAGCCAGTATGATTTTAAAGTTCATATGAAAGAATTAATGATGTGAGATAGTCAAGAACATTTTGAGGCCAGGCGTGGTGGCTCATGCCTGTAATCCTAGCACTTTGGGAGGCCGAGACGAGAGGATTGCCTGAGCCCAGTATTCAAGACCAGTCTGGACAACTTGGCGAGACCTCTTCTCTACGATAAATTTTTTAAAACACTAGCCAGGTGTGGTGGTACATGCCTGTAGTTCCAGCTACTTAGAAGGCTGAGGTGGAAGGATTACCTGAGTCCAGCAGGTGGAGGCTGCGGTGGCCATGAGTGTGCCACTGCACTCTAGCCTGGGCAAAGGAGTGAGACTTCGACTTAAAAAATGGGAAGGGGATGGTGTGAGGTCAGAGGATACTTGCTTTTCCAGATACTGACTTTGTTATAATGATACTTTAATAAAATAAGGTTTTGATACAGAAAATAAATTAGAGGAAGAAGACAACTGAATTTGAAAATAGATCACACATATGTGTTTATGGTAAGAGTATGAGTTGCTAGAACCTTAAGTGAAAGTGTTAATGTCTGTTAAAAATATGCGAACCCTTGAGCCCAGCAGTTCCTCTTCTAGGAAAGTGTCCCACAGGTCTAACACTATGGCCTTTTTCAGTTATTTGGACAGGGATGTTGATTGCTTCATAGATTGTAGAGGCAAAACAAAACGGGATAGTTTATAGAGGAGAAGCTGACCCAATTATGGGATATCCTTACATGACGATATTATGCAACTAAAAAGAATTTCTTGACCTGAGAGAATGTCCATGATATATTATTGTTCAATGAAAAAAAGCAAGTACGTGGTAATTTACTTACATGAAACATTGTGTGTGTGTGTGTGTGTATTCTAGCTTTTACTGAGGAATGGAAGGATAGATTAGAGGCTGTTAGTGGCTACCTGACAGAGCTGAAAGGGAAAGGAGCAGTGAAGAGGCAAAGTAAAACCACTGATCTAGTAATATCTTGGCATTATTTTGCTTGTTATAGCAAACTGACAAAGTTGATTGGCAGTGACAAAATTCAGAACCATCTCTCAAGTTTAAGCAGTCATCTTACGGATATGAGTCCTACTACCACATTAGGGCAAAAAGTGGGACAACATAGGTGGAAATAAAAATAAAAGTAATTTTCTCTGGCATATCATCTGGATGCCCTCATTTTGTTTTTGTTTTTTGTGGGGTTTTTTTGAGTTGGAGTCTCACTCTGTTGTCCATGCTGGAGTGCAGTGGCATGCTCACAGCCACCGCAGCCTCGACCTGCTGGGCTCAGGTGATCCTTCCACTTCATCCTTCCAGTAGCTGAAACCACAGGAATGCACCACTGTGCCTAGCTAATTTTTCTTGATTTACTGTAGAGACAAGGTCTCACCAGGTTGCTCAGGCTGGTCTTGAATCCCTGGGCTCAGGCAGTCCTCTCGCCTTGGCCTCCCAAAGTGCTGAGATTACAGGCGTGAGCCTTTACGTCTGGCCTGAAGGCCCTCTTAAGTGTAATAGTGCCTTAAACTTAAGGCAGGCAGTAATTGGGAAAGAGGAAAGTGAACATTACTAATTGATCTTCTATCTTAGTGTGTAGTTGCATGAATCCTGGAGATCAAAGAAACAAAAAACAGTTTTTAGTTTTACTTAGAGCCTCTTTTTTCTGTTTGTAAGGTTTGTGTGTGTGTGTGTGTGTGTGTGTGTGTGTGTGTGTTTTTGTAGAAATAAGGAGTGCTAGTGAGAGTTAACAACATAAGTAGGCTGCACGTAGGTGAAGTTTGGGCTTCTGACTCTACTTAGAACTTCTATTAATCATTTGCTTCTAATTGGTATATACCAAAGACACCATCATGTGATTTAGGAAGGAAGTGACAATAGCCTTCTCAGAATTTTATGTTTAAAAGGAATGGTGTTTAACAGGAAGATCTTATATCATGGACTTTATTGGTTGCTCTGAGAGAAGCCTTTGTGTCTATTAAAATGTGTCATTTAGAATGAAATTTTTGGTGGTTTCTCTTAACTGTGGCTAACAACATATGCCATAAAGTGTTGATAACTTCATATTAAAAGCCTAAAAGACTTTGTAAATACTGCAGATTACTCTATGCTGCCTTTTTAAAAATAGTATTGTATCTGAAATGTTAAATGTTTTTTATTTCCAAGATTCAGTCGGGTCCTCTAAAAATCTCTAGTATATCAGAGGTGATGAAAGAATCTAAACAGCCTGCCTCACAACTCCAAAAACAAAAGGGAGATACTTCAGCTTCAGTAACAGGTACTTCTATTTAGAACTATTATTTTAAAGTTACAGGTAAATGAATTGTTTTAACATATTTGTACCCACGGTCAAGAAGAGGCCCCCCATACTCCATGAAAGAACAGACTCTTCTTGTCTCCAGTTCTCACCTTGGGGAAGGAGATTCTTACCATATAATTTTGGCTTTCATTATAGGGCTTGAGTGGGACAGGGAATTGGGCTTTATTGTGAACAGCTACTAACTGAGGGTACTAGCAAGAAGTGTCTTGCCTGCAGCAGACTTTCTTTTACATGTATTTCCCTTCTACTTTTCTTTTTTTTTACTGTTAGCCTTTTCCCCTCTTTGAATTTTAAGGTTTAGTATCTTTTTCTACCTGTTCTCTAATTCTTCTCTCTTCTTTCTTAGTAATGAAAGTGTCTTATTCTAGTTCCCGCAGATTTTTTTTTTTTTTTTTTTTTTTGCTTTCAGAATTTACCAGTCATTCTACCCAAATTTACAGCACTTGCCTGCCTAACTCTGACCTGTTTGGTATACATTTGAACGTCTTATATTTCTGTTATTTCTGTTCTTGATTAAATCATCTGACTTTTCTTTCAGCAGATATTCACTGAGTCTGTTAGGCACGGGGGATATGGAAATTACCAAAATAGTTTTTCGAAATCTCAGCTAATATTCCTTAGTGGGATGAGAGAGAGAAATCATGTAAAAATAAACAAGTAAAATATATAGGATGTTAGGCAGTATAGGAGGGAATATTGCAATTTTTATGGTGTGCGTAAGGAAAGCCTCTCTTGGAAGAGGTCATCTAGCAGAGACTAGAAAGTGATAAGGGGGTAAGTCATGTAAAAGGATGCTGGGGAAAAGCATTCCAGGCTGCAGGATCAGCTGTTGCAAATGCTCTTCAAGCAAGGGGCTGATGAGGCAGGAATAAATTGAGTCATAGGAGAAAGAAGCAAATGCAGTCAGGGAGGAGCAGAAAGGATACTGTGGCAGTCCCTGGGCAGCCATTGTAAGAACTTGGCTTTGTATTCTGAGTGGAACAGGAAGAGGATGCTGAGCCAGGGCATTGATATCTGACTTTTATTTTTATAGGATCGCTCTGGCTGTTGCACAGAGATAAAGGACCTAGGGCAGGAGCAGGGAGATCAGTTAATGGGTTTCTTTGGGTGATAATCCAGCTTCATCTAATTGTTTTGTATCAATTTTGTTGCTTCCTCACCTCCCTTGTATCTCTGAACTATTTGTTTTTCTCTTCCATCAACACTTTGGCTTGTAATTTGCTAGCTCTTGATTTTTTTTTTTTAAGCTTTCATTTTTAAAAACTGAATTCTGTTCTTCTTCACTAAGTTATTGTCTTCACTGTGAACTTCCTTTGTGTTTGGAATTGTATCTTGTTCCTGTTCATACCTTTTCTTTAATCTCTACCATTCTTCAAAGCAATTAAAATATTCTTTAGTTGCTTTCTTTCATCTGTTTGCTTCATTACAGGTTCTTCCCTTTGCCACTCTTTTTCCATAGTATGTAAATGTCCACTTCTTGTGGGTTAAGATTTGGTACTATTACTAGAAGCCTTGCCTGAGAATAACGATGGTTAGAATGATGGTTAGAATGCAGGTGGATGCAGACAAGACTTCTTTCTCTTAGTCTTCCCAAACCATTGTCTATTTTGTGTGAGTTTGTATATGCAGCAGATGGTGGGTGTCCGTTTGTGTGTTATTCAAACGTGTGGCACTACATGTGTTCGTGTCTTTAAGGAATCAGATGTGAAGTGGGTGGGAGTAGTAATTTCCTGTATGTTTCTCTGTTAACCCAGGGAAGTATAAATACCATGAGTAACATATATTTATAGCACCTACAGAGGCAGCTCAAATTATTTCTGCGGCAGGTGATACGCTCACGGTCCCAGCCCCTGCAGTTCAGCATGAGGAATCTATAAAAACTGGTCACCCTGAAATTGGTGAAGGAAAACCCACGCCTGCACTTTCAGGTAGTTTAATTATTTATATTTATTCTTTTATATGTGATATGCGCATCAGCACTATCATGCCTAGACAGCACCCAGACACTGCAGAAGTACGCATTAATACTAGGTTTAAGTCTTCAGACTTGCTCGGGAAACTTTTAAAATTTAAGCGTCCAAATAAATCCTTGAAAACACAGAGGCTAACAGCTGATTCCTGTTTGAATTCTTACCACAGAAATACCCTCTATGGACATAATTGGCAAATACAAAGAGTGGTGTTTTTTTATCCCTATTAGCTGTGAAAGTTTTTTGCTGAAATTTGATTTCCTCTTATTTGCTTTTGCTGCAAGAGGACGCCCCCTCGTCTTCCATCAGGGAGCGGCCACCTGAAGAAGTCGCAGCTCGCCTAGCGCAACAAGAGAAACGGGAACAAATTGAGATTGAGTGTATGTAAATCAAACAGCTTCTTAAGGATTCTGGGTGATCACCTCTCTGTTGCTCTCCTCTTAAACTGTTAGCATACGTTTGTCATCTACCAACTAGTTGTGGTTTCTTTTGTTTTTAGCAGCATAGCTCTATTCATCCAATTCATTTCATCCAAACTTCTTTTACTCAGGTGACAAAGGGCTATTCTTAGTGTAGATTTGGAGAAAATTATAAATGTGTACTTTGGCCATTAGACTCTGGTGTGGCCATGTGCTCTTTGAGCTTTGGCTGTCGCTGTGCTTCCTGGCTTTGGCCCCCTCCCCTCCTTGGGGAGGTGAATCTTTTCTTTCTCTCTCTCTAATTTACTTTTAAATAAACTATGTTTAGTTAGTGCTGAAGATTCTTTATACTCTGAGAAACAGAAATTGGTTATTTATGTTTTAGCAGCTTGCCTGTGAGTCTTTCATTTTTATTTTTTGAGTCGAGTCTCACTCTTTTGCCTGCACTTTTTTGCGAGAACTTGCTGTTACAAAAAATAAAAAAATTATCTGGCCATGGTGGTGTGCTCCTGTAGTCCCAGCTACTTGGAAGACGAGGTGGAAGGACCACCTGAGCCCAGCAGGTCGAGGCTGCAGTAGTCAGGAGCATGCCACTGCACTACAACCTGGGTGACAGAGTGAGACCCTGACTCCAAAGCAAAACAAAAAAGAGCAGAAGGGACAGAATGAGCATAAGCACAGATGTTGGGCATTAGTTTGGCTACTCAGATTTGTGGGTTTTGTTATTGTCTTGTATTTTTCTGAGTTGGTGGCCATAAATGACTTCTAAATAAGTAAAATATTTCTATCCTTTTTTTTCCATGTCTTAGTTTTTCCTGAATTATTTACTGCTTCAAACAGAGGTTACTTTTTTTTGTGAGTTGAGGGCTCATTCTTCTGTGTCCCAGGCTTGAGTGCAGTGGTACAATCATGGCTCACCACAGCCTTAACCTTCTGGGCTCAGACAATCCTTTGGCTTCAGCCTTCTGAGTTGCCGGGACTACATTTTTAGTAGAGATTAGGTCTTGCTAGGATTTGCTTATGCTGTTCTTGACTCTTGATCTCCAGCAATCCTCCTGCCTTGGCCTCCCAAAGTGCTGAAATTACAGGCATGAGCTACCATGCCCAGACCAAGAATACTTTTTTCTTTTACTCATTTCATATTTTTCTTCACTTTTTACCTTTTTTTCCATATGGTCATCCGGAATTAAGTTATGAATTTAAAATGAAGATATCTGCCGTTTAACTGTTCTTTTTTTGTCTCCTTTCGTCTATCTTTCATTTCGGGCTAAGTGAACATTTTCAGGGTTTTATGGCACCTCTTAGTTTTCTCCCAGACTTGACTTTACAAATGCATGCATGTGTAATTTTTATCAGGGATCAGAGCTCCAAAGAGGGCTTGAAATAGCAGGTGGCTCCTAGCAGCCTGCTTTCTGTGGTCTCTATGAAGGAGTTCACTGCCACCTGCTGTTGGACGTCCAGTGTTAGCTCAAACATGCGGTGGGATCCACATACCCCTTTGCCTCCCTTGCTTCTTTGTATCCCCTACTCTTAGTTTCCCTTCAGTCTCACATTAATTACTTGGCATTTTCTCATTGTTAGTTTCTCCATTTTATTGCAGAGGTATGTGTGGTTCATCAGGTTTCCTGTGCTCATTACTAGCTATGCTTCTTTTGCTCAAAGTCACTTTCTGCTTTATTTTACCTGCCAAATATATGTTTTACTTTTCTGGTCATCTCTGATATCAGTTATTATTAAATTAGCGTTCTCACTAGCCTTTTTTCTTTAGATGACCACTTTTCCATTTTAACTTACTATCTAAAACGATTCCTTGTTTTACTCTTTGGTATTCCTGAAACAGCATATAGAAATGTGATCTATGGTGGTAGCCGCTTGGACCAATGATGTCTGCTATTTCTTGAACCCTTTTGTGGAAAAGCAAGCAGCCTTTGCTTTGTTTTGCGTATTTTCTTGTCTTTTGCTTTCTCTTATCTGTCTTTTTATATCCTGGTGATATAAGTATTTTGCTGTATTTCTTCTTGCTGAAGGTATAAAATGGGCACCTCTTTCTCCCTGTGGGACAATGTGATTGTTATTTAAAATGTAAAAAGCTGATGATTTTCCTGATTGTACAACCTCTAATAGGTAAAAGGGGAGCATAGTGTCTGAAACCTTGTTCCTTCCACTTGAAATACACTAGCTTTCTTTAAATGATTTTTTTAAATCATTTTTTATTTTGAAAAATTTAATTATACATAAAAGTAAAAACAGTGTAGTTGATAGATTGATCAACTAGATTTTATCATTATTATTTTTTCTATTTTTAGTTGGCTGGAGTGCAGTGGCATGATCATGATTCACTGCAGTGTTGAACTCCTGGCTCAGGAGATCCTTCTGCCTCAGCCTCCCAAGTAGCTGGGACTACAGGTGCACACCACCATACCACATTACAATCATTATTTTATTTTTGTAGAGACAAAGTCTCACTAAGTTGCCCAGGCTGGTCTCAAACTCCTGGGCTCAAGTGATCCTTGTGCGTTGGCCTCTCAAAGTGCTTAGATTATAGGCGTGAGCCACTTGCACCTAGCCTATTATCAATATTTTACCATACTTTAAAGTGAAACTTTGGTTCCCTAAATTTGAGTCTTGTGTGCATTTTGTTGTTCCCTTTTATGTATTTTGGAAAATTCAGCAGAAGACAGTAGGAGAAGATGAATAGTTTCAAGTCCTTTATGGGGAAGGAGTTTGTTTTTAACTGTATTTTTTTTTTTTTCCAGCTCTAGCTAGGAGCTTAGAAGATGCTTTGAGCCAAACTGCTGGTATCACTTTGCAGGCTATTGCAGCTCAGAATGCTGCAGTCCAGGCCGTCAATGCACACTCCAGCATATTGAAGACAGCTATGGACAATGCTGAGGTGAGCCGGGGAATTAGGTGTAATCATTTAGTGGACTGATCTTTCCTCATGCCATGGGCTTTCTCTCACTGAACAAAGACACACTAGAGTAATTATCTTTAAAAAGCAAACACTTCTAATGTTTTTTTTTTTAAGTTGGAGTCTCACTCTGTCGCCCAGGCTAGAATGCAGTGGCACGCTCACTACCACTGCAGCCTTGACCTGCTGGGCTCCAGCGATCCTCCTGCCTCAGCCATCCAAGTAGCTGGAACTATAGGCTCACGCTAACATGCCTGGCTAATTTTTCTTGGTTTATTGTAGAGACGAAGTCTCATCAAGTTGCCCAGGCTGGTCTCGAACGCCTGGGTCCAGGCGGTCCTCTTACCTCGGCCTCCCAAAATGTTGGGATTACAGATGTAAGCCACCACGCCCTACTCACTTCTAATTTTTTTAAAGTGGATTTTATATACAGTGCTTTATTTCCTCTCATAGCCCTGCTGCAGTATAAGAATTAGGCTAGATTGCTTTGATATCTTCATAGTACTTAGCTATGCTTGTTCTTTGCCAAATATTTTATTAGATGAACTTTTCATTTTGAGATATTTTCAGATTGACAGGCAGTTATACGAAATAATATGGAGAGATCCCATGTTCCCTCAAACACTGGCTATTTTAAGTGTTTATGCTGATTATTTAGCTTCTGTTCAATACTTCAAATAATACAGTTATAATGTTGAATTTGAAATGTAATACTGAGACTCAATGAATTACCTTTATAATTATATTAAGTTACTCAGTAAATAAAATGTCTTTACTTGGTACCAAGTCATTTAAAGAGTAAAGTAGGCCAGGAGCTGTGACTCACCTTTAATTCCAGTACTTTGGGAGTCCAAGGTGAGAGGATTACTTGAGGCTGGATGTTTGAGACCAGCTTGAGCAACATAGCAAGACCTCATCTCTACAAAAAATAAGAAAATTAGCTGGGTGTTGTAGTATGCACCTGTGGTTCCAGCTATTCAGGAGGCTGAGATGGAAGGATCATCTGAGCCTAGGAGTTTGAGGCTGCAGTGAGCTGTGATTGTGTCACTGAGTCCAGCCTACATGACAGAGTGCGAACCCCGACTCAAAAACCGAGCAAGCAACCAAAGTACACTGAGTTGTGGTCCTGGAGGTGCACAAGAACATATTAAATTAGTTTGAAGTAAAATACTTTTTACTCCTGAGCCCAGGAGTTTGAGGCTGCAGTGAGCTGCGATTGTGCCACTGAGTCCAGCCTACGTGACAGAGTGCGACCCCGACTCAAAAACCAAGCAAGCAAACCAAAGTACACTGAGTTGCGGCCCTGGAGGTGCACAAGAACATATTAAATTAGTTTGAAGTAAAATACTTTTTACCTAGAGTGACAACTAAATTGTTTCAATAATTATGTTTCAGAACTTCCAAAGGAGGGCTATTACTGCACATCTGGTAGATGACTGCTGTCTCAGGTGTCTCTGGGCGTGGATGCCCAACTTGCATCTTACCTCATTAGAAATATAAGTAGCTCTGCCGCTTTGGAAGGAGAAGTCAGCAAAAGTAACAAACTGCCTTGACCTCCCAGGCTTAGGCAATCTTTCTGCCTCAGTCTCCCAAGTAGTTAGAACTACAAGTGTGTGCCACCGTGACTGGCTAATTTTTTGATTTTTTTTTTTTTTTTTTTTGTAGACACAGGGTCTCACTGTATTGCCCAGGCTGGTCTTGAACTCCTGGGCTCAAGCAATTCTCCCGCCTCAGCGTCCCAAAACACTGGAATTTTATGTGCAAGCCACCACGCCCGGCTTCAGTGTACTTTGAAGATAAGGCATAAGGTGGCTTAGCTCCATACTTACATATAACACATTCAGTTTAAACTATATACATGTGGAAAAAGAAGACAGAAAATTGTTTTAAATAGTTAAAAATAATTTAAGATAGTTCAGACAGTTCCCTGTAATATTCTGTTCATTGTATACGAGGACACCAAAAAAACCCGGATTTTATTTATAAAAAATTTTGTGTTCTTATATGTTTAAGCTTCAGTCACCTTCAAAATATTCTCCATTTGGTGCAATACAGCTATTGAGACACGTTTTCCACTGATCAAAACAGTTTCTGAACTCATCAATTTTGATGCATTTGAATGGTTCTGCCATTTTTTGTTTTACCTTTTTCACTTCTGCAATACGTTTTTCTTTGAGGACTTTTTTCATCCAGGGAAACAAAAAAAAAGTTGTTCAGGGCAAGATGGGTGAATAGGGAGGGTGGAGCACAGGAGTCCTGATGGTTTTGCTCAAAAACTGCTAGTAATAGCACATTGTGGGCAGGTGTGTTGTCATCGCAGAAAAACCAGTCACCTATTTGTCACAACTCGGGACATTTCTTCTACAACGCAACCTTTCACAACAGCATTAGCTGGTGAACTGATCTCAATGTGTTCCTGGAATACTACCTAGTGGGGGAAGCTTATCTTCTAAGATGCCTTCCAAAAGACAATTCCAGTTATTTGAGGGTTCTCCTTGTATATAATGCAGATTGTGGGAAGAATAGAAGCCATGAGTTGTCTAGGCCCTTAGTGTTCTGGATTCCTTTGGCACCCTTAATAGTGTGAATATTTTGCTGTACTGAGTATGATTACAGTGTTAAGAGGGTTTTTCTTTTTCTTGGTATTGTATGTCCCTAAATATGAGCCAACCCTGCTCAAAGTAGTGACAAGCAGTTCCATAGCTTGAGAAAAAACACATTGGACCTGCCTACAGAATTTTTCAAGGGAAATTAAGAAAAAAAATACACAGATCTGCCAGATGTGGTAATCCCAGTGCTTTGGAAGTCCAAAGTGTGAGAATCACTTGAGCCTACAAGTTTTAGACCAGCCTGGGAAAGTAGCAAGCCCTCATCTCTACAAAAAAATTAAAAATTAGCTGGGTGTAGTGGCATCTGCCTATAGTGCCAACTACCTAGGAGGCTGTGGGAGGATCGCTTGAGCCCAGGAATTAGAGACTCTGGTGATCTGTGATTGTGCCAGTGGACTTTAGCTTGGACAACAGAGTGAGACCCTGACTCAAAAGAAAAAACAGAACAAGAAGTGCTTATGTGCACTGAACACAATGTTTTGTTTTTTTTAAACAACTGTGGAACTGTGGAAAGATGTTGATGGGAGACGGATCATGGACTTCTTTGTACCAAAGATTTGGAGCCTGAGATTAAGAGTTTCTACTCTGGAGAAAAATTGTATATAAGTTTTTTTTTACCTTTGACTTTAATGTCACACATCTCTGCCTTTAATCTTGTTGGCCTATCCTGTGATGGTAATAGTAGTTTTTTGTGTTTATATAATTAACATTTTTTGTCTAGATTGCAGGTGAGAAGAAGTCCGCTCAGTGGCGCACAGTGGAGGGTGCGTTGAAGGAACGCAGAAAGGCAGTGGATGAAGCTGCCGATGCCCTTCTCAAAGCCAAGTAATTACTCGTGGACTTTAATAAGTAATTAGGGCCCCCTAGTGACTTTCTTTGGGCTGGATTTTCTTCGTACTGTCTTTATAGACTGGAGAGGAGACAGAGAAACCCTTCCCTCCCTCCTCCAGCTGCATTTAGTCTGAATTGGTATCAGGTGCAAAATGAGAGGCAAAATAAAATATAATTAGGCCAAAAGTAAATTTTGCAGAAGCTTATATAAAGGATCTTATATAAAAATCAGCTGTGCTTTGGATTAGGTGATTGATATCTGCAGATTTACTGCTATAATTTGTTATAATTTCAATATTTTTGCTGGAACAGTTGGGGCAGTTTTATCAGAATTTAGGAAGTAAGTCGCAATCTATTTGCCTTAACTACCAAAGTAGTGAATATATAATAGGGTAGTTTTAGGCCACCTTTACCTTGATTCCTGGAAGTCGGCTAAAACTAGGATCAAGCAAGCAAACCCAGATCAACCTCTAATGATGGAAACTTATATTTAACTAAAGTTTCTCATCAATAGCATGGGATAGTTATTTGTCATTCTAAATTTTGCAGTCTTTTACAAAGTATTATTGATAAAGAAAGTCTTCCAATAAAACCAGTTTATCTTTTAGGAGATTTAAGACATTTTGTTCACATCTCTGGATCATACGTCAGGGCTCTCTGAGTTCTGTGTTTCGTGGTGGGTAGACTATAGTCTACCCAGATTCCGAGACATTCTGAATCGTGAAGGCTGTCGCAATCTGGTGATTTATCTGTTCACTGAGTTACTTGGCCTTCTCCCTTGACTTTGCCTTCCTCTGGTCTCTCATTTGTAAGGGAGTCAGCCTAATCCTTGCCAGAGCTGCTATCTATTGAATACTCATGATAGAGCAGGCACGGTGCCAGGTATTTTTCATGAATTACTTTCAGTCTTTACACAAGAGCAGGCAGCAAATGAGCCTCCCCATATACCACACTGTCTCTCTGGTTCATTTTGGTGAGTCTAGCTTCTGACCAAGGTGTTTCCAGTTGTTGGTGGAAAAAGTTCTCTATCTATTGTCTACACAAAGGCATTGAATAATTTTTTTGAAGCTGTATTTCTTTTATAGACTTTTAACAATTGCATATTGTACTGACTTTAAAACTAAAAAGGTTGGCAAGGAATTATACTAAATCTTTTTGTTTTGTTGGTTTCCAGAGAAGGGTTAGAGAAGATGAAAAGTGTGATTGAAAATGCGAAGAAAAAAGAGGTCGCTGGGGCCAAGCCGCATATAGCTGCTGCAGAGAGTAAGCTTCATAACATGATAGTGGACCTGGATGACGTAGTCAAAAAGGTGGGGTTCTTAGGCCTTTTTTTTTTATTATTATAAAGATGTGAGGTACAATTCAGGACAAGGTTAGGTATGCAAATGTTGATTATGCAGGTACTCTTGTTGATGGGGTATGCTCATCCCACCCTAGCAGTTTCCCTCAACTGCCAATCCCACCTCCCCCTCCCCTGACAGTTTCCCACTACTGCCAATCCCTTTCTTATAGTATTATAATTGGTCAAGGTCCGCTTATGAGTGAGAACATATGGTACTCTGTTCTTTGTTTCTGATAGATCACTGAATGACTCTAAATCCATCCAAGTTGCTGCGGAGTCCATACATTTGTCCTTCTTTATGGCTACATAATATTCCATTGTGTATATGTCCCACATTTTTTTTTTATCCAGTCCAGCTTCGATGGGCAGGATGGTATTTTCCATGTTTTTGCTGTTGTGAATAGAGCGGCAACAGGCATACGTGTGCAGGTATCTTTTTTGTAGAATGATTTGAGTTCCTCCAGGTTATTCCCAATAGGGGAATTGCTGGGTCATATGGAAGGTCAATTTCTAGTTCATTCAGAAATCGCCACACTCTTCCCAAGAGGTTGCACTAGTTTGCATTCCCACCAGCAATGTAGAAGCATTCCTTTTTTCTCTGCATCCTTGCCGGCATCTGTTTATTTTATTAATGATGGCCATCTTACTGGGGTTAGGTGGTATCTCAGTGTGGTTTTGATTTGCATTTCTCTGATGTTTTCTGATGATGAGTGAGGCTGAGCACTTTTGGTATGTCTGTTGCTGCCCGTACATCTTCTTTTGAGAAGTGTCTATTCATGTCTTTTGCCCAAAGTGTCTATTCATGTCTTTTGCCCACTTTCTTTCTTTTTTTTTTTGAGTTGGAGTCTCACTCTGCTACCCAAGCTGGAATGCAGTGGCACACTCACAGCCACTCCAGTATCGACCTGCTGGGCTTCAGCGATCCTTCCACCTCAGCCTTCCAAGTAGCTGGAACTACAGGTGTGCGCCACCATGCCCAGCTAATTTTTGATTTATTGTAGAGACGATGTCTCGCCAAGTTGTCCAGGCTGGTCTAGAACCCATGGGCTTAGGCAATCCACTCACCTAGGCCTTCCAGAGTGCTGGGATTATAGACTGAGCAACCAAGCCCGGCTTTTGCCCAATTTTTAATGGGGCTCTTTTTTTCCTTTTGACACATTTGAATTCCTTGTAGACCTAGATGTTTGGCCTTTGTCAGATATACAGTTGGCAGATATTTTTTCCTATTCTGTGGGCTGTCTCCCTGTTCTCTAGATGGTTTCTTTTGCTTTGTAGAAGCACATTAATTTGACGAGGTCCTACTTGTCTGTCTTATTTCTTAAGGTATGGGCATTTAGAGTTCTGAATAGGAATTGGTTGCCAGTTCCAATTTCCATAAGGGTGTCTCCTGTGTTTTCTAAGATTCTTATAGTTTGTGGTTTTACATTTAGGACTTTGATCCATTTAGATTTGACTTTTGTGTGTGGTGATAGGTAGGGGTCCTGTTTCAATCTCTGCATGTGATCAGCCAGTTTCCCCAGCACCATTTACTGAATAGGTTCTCCTCTCCCCAGTGGTTGTTGGAGGCTTTGTCAAAGATGAGTTGGTTGAGAAATTGAGGCTTTGCTTCTGGAATCTCTATCCTGTTCCTTTGGTCTATGTGCCTGTTCTTTTACCAATACCAGGTTGTTTTGATTACTGTAGCCTTATAATAAAGTTTGAAGTCTGGAAGCGTGATACCTCCTGCTTTGTTTCTTTTGCTAAGGATTGTTTTGGCTTTTCATGGTCGTTTATGTTTCCATATGAGTTTCTGTATTGTCATTTCCAGGTCTGAGAAGAATGATGTTGGTAACTTATGAGTATTGCATTGAATCTGTATATTGCCTTTGGAAGGATGGACATTTTAACAATGTTGATTCTTTCTATCCATGAGCATGGAACATCTTTCCATTTGTTTGTGTCTTCTTGGATTTCTTTGAACAGTGTTTTGTAGTTTTCATCGTAAAGGTCTTTCACTTCTCTGGTTAGGAAGATGCCGAGGTATTTCATTTTTTATGTGGGTATTCTGAATGGGATTGTGCTTTTTATTTGGGTAGACTCTGCCTGCTTGTTGTTGGTGTATAGGAATGCAACTGTCTTTTTTTTGCCCATTTATTTTGTACCCTGAGACTTTGCCAAAGTCCTTTATCAGTGCAAGCAGGTCTTTGACAGATTCTCTTGGATTTTCAAAGTATAGGATCATATCATCAGCAAAGAGGGATAACTTGACTTCCTCTTTTCCTGTTTGGATACCCCTGATTTCCTTCTCTTGTCTAATTACCCAAGCTAGGACTTCCAAGATATTGAACAAGAGGGGTGAAAGTGGGCAGCCTTGTCTTGTTTCAGTTTTTAGGGGATATGTTTCCAGTTTCTGTCCTTTTAGCAATATGTTAGCAGTGGGTTTATCGTAAATGGCACTTAATATTTTGAGGTATGTTCCTTCTATACCTAGGTGTTTGAGGGTTTTTATCAAGAAGGGATGCTGAATTTTATCAAAAGCTTTTTCTACATCTAATGAGATAATCATGTGGTTCTTGTTTTTATATCTGTTGATGTATTTAATTATGTTTATGGTCTTGCGGATGTTGAACCAGCCCTGCACCCTGGGGATGAAGCCTACTTCTATCCTATCCAGCCAAGGGCAGCAGATCATTGGGTCATGGTTTCTTATCCAGTTTGCCATTCTGTGTCTTTTCAGTGTTCCATTTAGTCCATTCACATTCAAGCTGATTATTGAAATGTGATTGTTTATCCCTGTCATGAGGTTCTTATAGTTTTTTTGTTTGTTTTCTTTTGACTTTGGAGTTGATGTTTGTGTGTGTTTTCAAGTTTCTTGTTGTACTGTATTCTCTGTTGATTCTCTGCTCTGCTGTTCCCTTGGGAAGGGTGTAGTGATTCTTTTTTTTCTTCTGTGCTTAATACCTTTTTAAGTGTCTCCATGGAGCTGGTCTGGATGCTACATAATCTCTTAGGGATTGGATGTCTGGGAAGGATTTTAATTCTCCAGCACTGATGAAGCTGAGCTTGGCTGGACAGGAAACTCTTGGTTGAAATTGTTTATTTTTGAGAACTTTAAATATAGGGCTGAGTCTCATTCACTCTTTCCATCCATCCCCTAATCCCAACTGGAATAACAATAATAACTTGCTTGTAGTGTTTCTGCCAATAGGTCTGCTGCTATTCTGATTGGTTTTCCCCAGTAGGTAATCTGACCTTTCTCTCTTACTGCCTTTGGGATTTTTTTCTTTTGTGCCTACTTTGTGTAGGTGAATTACTATGTTTCTAGGGGTTGGCCTTCTCATTTACTGTCCCGTGGGGTTTCTCTGAATCTCTTGTGCTTGGCTGGTCACATCTCTGGTGAGAAGGGGAACGTTTTCTTGGATTACCTTCTGGAAAACATGTTCCAAGTTGTTCTCCATTTCCCTTTCTTCTTCTGGGATACCAGTCAGGCGTAGGTTCGGCCTCTTGAGATAATCACACATCTCTTGTAGGCTTTGTTCTTTCTTTCTGAGTCTTTCTATGTTTTTTACAGATCAGGTTAACTCCATATTCTGGTCTTCAAATTCTGAGATTCTTTCTTCAGCTAGATTAATTCTGCTTTCCATGCTTGTCATCTTGTTATTTCCTGGATGAAATTTTTTATTGCCAATATCTCTGTTACAAGTTCTTTCAGTGTTGCATCTTGTCTTTCTTGAGTCTCATTCACTCTTTCCATCCATACCTTAATCCTTGCCATATTCTGGGGCCGGTCATTGGTGACTTCCATTGTTTGGGCACCAAGATCTGGTTTTTCAGGAGTTTTGTCTTTAGTACACTTGAAATTGCCTGTGGTCTTCCTTTGATCTCTCCTCATTTGTCACAGATATCTTGTTTTTCTCTTTAGTTCTGTTATTCAGTGTTAGTGGGAGAGGCTTTCCCTTCTAATGTTTGCTCACTCCTCTATTCTTCCTTGATCTGGGCTCTGGATTTGTTCTGTGTTGAAATAAGATGGTGAATGGGAAACTTTGCTGTCTCTTGTAGTTTTTGAAATTCAAATAAAGTAGGGGATGGGTGCTAGGATTTAGAAACTACTTCCAAATTACAATGTTCACTTATTGTGGTTTGTATTCCCTGAGACCCACTCCCCACCACCATTCTATATGACGATGCAAAGGAGAGACCAATGCAAAAAACAATTGAACCCACAGACATACACACACACCCCCCAAAACAAACTGGAATAACAACAAAGTGAAACAAAACAAACAACAACAACAAAAAGCCAGGAAATATAAACACACACACACGCCTAGCACAAAGTGAATAGAGAAGACAGACAGACAGGGGAGGGAAGGGAAGGAATTCAGGTTGAACCCTCACAAATATATTGACACACACCTTAAACTATAAAAAATGAAAATAAATACCCCAGAAGAACAAAAGAGCAAAAACAACAACAAAATTGAAAGATGAACACTCAAATCAATCACATATACACATAAACTGAACATGACAAATAAAAGAAGAAAGAAACAGAAAAAGAAAAGAAAAAATTTGGGGTGGGGGGATGCAGATCAGACCCTCACATACACATTCATGCACAAGGAAAAATATTTTAAAATTGATGAACTAACAAACAGTCAAAAATTTTTAAAAATTTTTTTAAAAATTGAAAATTAAAAAAAAAAAACCTGCCCTCATGTGACAGGCTCTGTAATTGTTCCTCTAATCAGGTCTCTCCTGCAGAGCCACCTCTTTCACTCTCCTCAGTGTTCGAAGCAGAGAAAGAGGAGGGGCAGGGGAGGTGGGTGGGGCTGCAGGCCTCCCTTCCCACTCTCGCATGGCCAGGGAGATCTCCTCCGGTGGGGAGGTGCGGGATTGTCTCTTCCCTGGTATGTACTCATGGGGAGGGTGCCCCAGCCAGGCCTATCCTGGAATGGTGTTCTCCTACTGTGACTGACGTCCAGGCTACACCTGGATTTGTCCGTCTCAGTTGTGACCCAGCTGTGTGGGTCTGATGTTCAGAGGATTGCTGGGGAGGAGGGGGTTTGGGTCAGTCCCGGACTCACCACTGATATCTTTGGAGTCCTTCCCTATCCTTTTCTGGCCACACCCTTTGTCCTGTGGCTGGATCAGGTTAGGGAGTGGGGGAGCCTGAACTCAGCACTTATCGGGTCACTCTGAAGTTTGTGCTCTCAGGATATTCCCTCTGGGTCATGATCAGTCTCTTGAGTAGTTGATTCGCCAGTCACAGAGATTGGGTCTGTTCTTCTGTGGTGAGGAAGTCGGAGCACTTTTCTGCCCCGCCTTCAAGATGGTGGTGGGGTGCCTCTCCTGTCCTCTTCTGTGGTACTTTGCCCCGGACTCCCTCCACAGCCCCTGCTGCCAGTGCCCTGCCAGGCGCTGAAGTGCTGAGGCAATCCAGGAGCCAGTGGTCTCTCTCCTGATGTAATGGTGAGGGAAAGCCTGGGGTGATAGTTTCTCCTGGCCACTTTTTCAAAGGAAAACTTTTGTCAGTTTAAAAAAAAGTGGCTCTCAGCTTCTGTGACCTGGGAAAAGCCAAGAACGAAGCAGAGAAGCTGTAGCACCAGCTGTTGTACCAGGGGCCTGCCCCCTTGGTCACAAACCCCCACTTAGGCAGTTTCCCCCAGCTTTGTCTTCCCAGGAAGGGTTTGTTGATTTAAAAAAAAAAAAAAGAAAGAAAAGAAAATGGCGCTGGTCTTCTGTGTCCTAGGAATCGCTAGGGTCCAAGCCCAGCAGCTGTGGCACCATCCACTGCACCAGGAGAGCCCTGGCCGCTAGCTCCATAGCCCTTACTCAGTTAGCCACTCACACACCCACTTGCTCACCAACATGTACACAAAATTTTCCATACATTCACTCACACTGGGACTCGCATAGTCTGACTGGCTCGGCCGCCATCTTCCCGACCTCCCACCCCCTTTTTTAAGATTTAGAGTCTCACTCTGTTGCCCAGGCTGGAATGCAGTGGCACGCTCCCAGCCACTGCAGGCTCAACCTGCTGGGGTCAGGCGATCCTTCTGCCTCAGCCTTCCAAGTATCCAGACCTACAGGCACACGCCACTACGCCTGGCTAATTTTTTATTTATTGTAGAGACAAGGTCTCTCATTATGTTGCCCGGGCTGGTCTTAAACCCGTGGGCTCAGGCAATCCTGTCACCTCAGCCTCCAAAGTGCTGGGGTTGCAGACTTGAGCCACTGTGCCTGCCCAGTTGTTCTTGCTTTCAAAAATTTGTTTTGGGGCTGTGCATAGTGGCTCACACTTGTAATCCCAGCAGTTAGGAAGGCTGAGGCAAATGATTGCTTGAGACCAGGCGTTCGAGACTAGCCTGGGAAGCATAGCAATGCCCCATCTCTACAAAAAAAAATAGCCACGTGTGATGGCACAGCCTGTATTCCTAGCTACCTGAGAGCTGAGTTGGGATGATCACTCAAGCCCAGGAATTTGAGGCTGCAGTGAGCCTTGATTTCACCACTGCACTCCAACCTGGGTGACAGCAAGACCCTGTCTCTTAAAAAAAAAAGTGCCTTGAGTATCAAGTGGATTGTTGAGTATACTTTTGTTGATACCTTTTATAATGAGTAACATTTTTGATCATGCTTATTGTCATCTAAAGAAATTTCCATTTTGTGGCACATCTTTCATCTGCTTGTGTGATCTGCATGAGTTGTTTCCCATGACCCAGAGAAAGAGAGAAAGGGTCTCAATAAGATGGAAAAGGGCCTTTCTGTGGCATTGAATAGGAATCAGAAGGAAATAAAGACAAGGCTTATGTTTGCTTTCTGAGCTTCAGATTTCTGCATATGTGCTGTTTATATTTTCCCAATAAAATATGAATAAGTGAAGGAATATGTTTCTGTTTTTTGGAACGTTTCTGGTACTTCTTGTTTGGTTTAATCATATGCCCCTTGTATTTGCTCAGGTCCAAGCAGCTCAGTCTGAGGCTAAGGTTGTGTCTCAGTATCACGAACTGGTGGTCCAAGCCCGGGATGACTTTAAACGAGAGCTGGACAGTATTACTCCCGAAGTCCTTCCTGGGTGGAAAGGGATGAGTAAGTACAGCTAAAGCGGTGGCACTTCTTTTGATTTTTAACAGCGGATCTGCTCGTCTAACTTGCTTCGTCTCCATCCTTCTGATCCAGGCACGTGCCTCTCTTTATGTGCGGTACATTGTTTCCCCCTGTAGCTATAGCCGTGGCGAACATGAGTTTCAGCCAGTTTTAAATTCTAGAATCCATCACTTCGTTCTGATCTCTGCTACTCAAAAAAATTTTTTTAGAATTCAAGTGAATGAGAGTCATAGTATAACCTTGACTCTATTAAGGTATATTATGTATGTAAATATATATGGAAGTTTTCAAAAACCTTGGTAATTCAAAAGTATTTGTAATTATTTAAAACATGCCTTTGAATATTTTGAATACCCTTAAATTATTTAAAACATACCTTATGACTGAACACCATTTTTCTTTTTTGAGTTGGAGTCTCCCTTACGGGTGTGAACTATTGCCCAGCCACACAATGTTTTGAAAATTCAGCTAGGGGCCCTGGATTGAGAAGGAAACCAACTGTCTGGCTATCCACTTGCAAAATCTCAGACTGCAGGGAACTTCATTGAAGCAGTTACATAGTATAACTGTAGGGAGTGGTCTCATTTCCTTGACATGCTGTGAAAGTACTAAGAATCAGAGATTGCCAGTCTCCACAAAATTAAATTATTGTTTAAATGCTAGTGTCTGTTAGAAACTGAACTTCTCATGTCATAGGCCTCTCTGGACTGAAGGTGTCAGGTTTGCATTCTAGAACCATGGCTGGTCTAAGGCAATAAAGACCAGTGCAGACATTCCATCTGCATATGGCCAACCAGGGAGATTTAATGGCAAGAAACAGAGTTAAGCCTCTCAAACAATGATTCAGACATTTAGTTTCTTGAATGCACTTTACTCGAGAGTGTTATCAGGCTTTTTTTTTTAATTTTGTGGAGATGGGGTCTTCTTGTGTTGCCCAGGTTGTTTTTAAATTCCTGGCCTCAAGTGATCCTCCTGCCTCAGCCTCCCAAAGTGCTGGAATTATAGGTGTTAGCTGCCATGTCTGGCCCTAGACTATTGTCAAAGAAAAAAGTAAGCAGGGGATGGTGGCTCACGCCTGTAATCTCAGCACTTTGGAAGGCAGAGGCAAGAGGAATGCACTCCAATGAGACTCTGACTCCAAAAAAATAGAAAACAGTAAAAGAAGGATTTTTAAAAATTAATTTATTTTTGAGTTGGAGTCTCATTCTGACACCCAAGCTGGAGTGCAGTGGTGTGCTCACAGCCACTGCAGCCTCGACTACTACCTGCCTTCCAAGTAGCTGGAAGAACTATAGGCACTCTCCACCACGCCTGGCTTATTTTTTGATTTCTTGCAGAGACAGGGTCTCACCAAGTTGCCCAGGCTGGTGTCGAACCCCTGAGCTCAGGCAGTCCTCTCACCTCAGCCTCCCAAAGTGCTGGGATTATAGGCATGAGCCACTGTGCCCGGCAAAAGTAGGATTTATGAGAGCGATGATAAAGCGGAGAAACACACACACAGGGTTTAGTCTGGGAATAGTGAATCTTGTGAATCTTGTTTGGACATCGTTCTTTAAGCTGAATAGCTACCATCTAACAAAAGGGTTTGTGGACAATTTATCCTTGAGCAGAGTAAACTTGCACTGCATCCGCACCTCATCAGAATTTCTTAAGGGCTGTGCTTCTTTGAAGGCACAACGGAGATGGATGTAATCAGAGACCTTCTGACCCTTTTCCTTCACAAGTCACTTACCTTAGTTTGTCTTATTGAAGCTTTATTCACTGGTTTGTGTTTGTTGTGTCTTGTTCTATTAAATGTAAGCTCCTTGGCATAAATATGACATTGGAAGAAAGTGTTAAATGGTTCTCAACCCAAACTTTTTTTCCCCGCAAAGACCATTTATTTGGAGACATTTTTGTTTGTCACAGCTGAAGGGTGCTACTCTCAGGTAGTGGGTAGAGGTCAGAGATGACGCTCAGCATCCCACTACAGTCCATGGAGCGGCCCCTCACCCACAGAGTGTATCTGGCCTAGAGCGTTAGTGGTACCAATGTATCATGTGGAAAGTGAAAGTCTCCTGCAGTGTAATCACTCATCGTTTCAGCAATCTCTATTTAAATTTGTATCAATTCTCATCTCTACAATAAATCAAAAAATTAGCCGGGCGTGGTAGCGCGCGCCTGTAGTTCCAGCTACTCGGAAGGCTGAGGCGGAAGGATCACCAGAGCCCAGCAGGCAAGGCTGCAGTGGCCAGGAGCGGCCACTGACTGCACTCCAGTCTGAGCGACAGAGTGAGACTCCAACTCAAAACAAAAACAAAAAACAAATCTGTATCAATTTTTATTTAGCATATACATTTATGATACAAAGTTTGAAAGGTACAAATGGCATTTGGTGAAGTTTCCCTTCCACCCCTGACCACAGCCACATGGTTTTTCTTTCTGGGGGCATCTGGTATTACTGATTTCTTGTGTACTCCTGGAGGTAGTTACTTCTCTATGATTACTGTAGCCCTCAGTAGACACCCTCACCTCTGAATCAAACATCCTTGACACCTATACCAAACTTGTTAGTAGTGGTTTGCGCTATTAGTTATTTTGCTCTTATTATTCTTTTTTCTTTTTTTTATTTTTTGAATTGGAGTCTCACTCTGTCACCCAGACTGGAGTGCAGTGGCCGCTCCCAGCCACCACAGCCTCGACCTGCCGGGCTCTGGCAATCCTTTCACCTCAGCCTTCTGAGTAGCTGGAATTACAGGCATGCACTACCATGCCCGGCTAATTTTTTGATTTATTGTAGAGATGAGGTCTTGCCAAGTTGCCCAGGTGGGTCTCAAACCCACGGGCTTAGGCAATCCACTCACCTCAGTCTCCCAAAGCGTGAGATTTTTGTGCCTGGCACTGTGTTCTAAGCACTTCACTTGTCTTAACTTAAAGTTCACAACAGCCTTATGAAGTAAGCTTTGTTATTGTCCTCATTGTACAGATGAGAAAACCAAGAAGTTAGGTAATCTGCCCAAGGTTGTGGTAGAGCCAGAATTTCATTCTTACCTCGCTTTTGTTCTCTGGCCTAATTGGTTTGTACCAGTAGCATGGGACTCCCTTTTGGCCTTTTGAGAAAAGAAGCAATGTCCTTGTAACAAGGAGGAAAATTCATTTTTATGAGATTGAGAGCATAGATTTGAGTGCAGGGCAGAGAAGCTGGTTAAAAGCTGCTGGACTCATAAGCGGACCTTGAACAATCACCATCACACTGTAAGAAAGGAATTGGCAGTAGTGGGAAACTGCCAGGGGAGGGAGGGGCACACCTCATCAGCAAGGGTACCTGCATAATGAGCATGTGTATACCTAACCCTGAATTGTACCCCACATCTTTAAAATGAAGAAAAAAAGCTGCTGGACTGCTCTGAGAATGAAGTGAGATGTGCCAGCCAGTATGTGTGCTGGGGCACTGCAAATGAAGACTAGGAGGAAAGACCCTAGGAAGCCATCATTTAGCAACTGGTTTGTTGAACTGTAACTTAACAGTACTTGAAGTTGAAGGCATCTGTACTTCCTGATCCAGCGTTTGAGCTTCAGGTATATGTTCAAGAGGAGTCATACAAAAACGCATTGGGTACTGTTTGTAAGAGCAAAACAAGTGGGAACAGGTACGTGTCCCTCACATACGGCAGTGCAAAGGAATGAACTAGAACTATAGCTCTCAAACCTAAATGTTAAGAAGAACGAGGGAGTTTGTCATCAGGGAAACTTGAGCTTGTGATCCTGGCTTGCAGTCTTCAAGCTTGACTCAAATACACTCTCTTCTGTTATTAAAAAAGAAAAAAGAAGAACAAAAACTTGTAGAAGTACGCATAGGAGACCACTTACATGCAGTTTAAGAGCAAATAAATGATATATTGTTTAAGGATGTTTATCTATGTCAAGTATAAAACAGCGCAGGAATGATAAGCCTCACATTCAGAGCAGACACCTGTGTGGGGGAAAGAAAGAGGTAGGAACTCCTGGGCGGGTTGCCAGGCTTGAAGAATGAGGGGCAAGCTGTGGATTGTCAGTAGTCCCAGGCATGCCTATCTCCTTGATTGCTTATAGGCTATAGTGTATAGAGCTGTATTGTATATGCCATATTAGCACTGATGTATCATCTCACCTTGTGCAACTTTGGCATGTTTTCTGTAACACTGGGACAGATCCCTCTTTGACTGAACTCCAGAATGAGCAGCTGACTTTCAGAGCCCTTTTGGATGGAAAATACCTGTTTTTGAACTTGTGGAATCAAAGGGCCATTAAGAAGCTCAGGATATTGCACACCCAGGGTGCCAAACCACTCATACTAAGAGGTGGGAGCTGAGAAGGGCAATAGTTCCCCTCTCCTATCAAGTGTCAGTACTCTGACACTTGGGATTTTGGTGGGGAGCATCTTTCAATGATTCAGAATTTTATTTTTTTCTTCCTTAACCCTCAAGACTGGCAGTCATAGTTCTTTGTTTAATTTGCATGGGTCACATGTTAATTTAATGTGAGTTCATTGTTTAAAAATTTTCACAGAAAAAATATTAATTTCTTAAGTATTTGAAATGTTAGGAGAGGCTTGGTACTGAGAACAGAGAGTAAAGACTGTGACTTAATGAACTACTCTGTGAACTGATGTGAATGGAAGGGGTAAAAGACAGTTACAGTTTCTGTGAAAGACCTAAGTAGACTGCCTTGATGAAATAATAGCAAAAACATAGAACCAACCATGCTGCCCATCGAAAGATGACTAGACAAAAAAAGTGTAAGCCAGGCTCGGTGGCTCAGCCTGTAACCCGCGCCTTGAAAGGCTGAGATGAGTGGATGGCCTAGCCCGCGGGTTCGAGACCCGCCTGGGCAACTTGGCGAGACCTCATCTCTACAATAAATCAAAAAATTAGCTGGGCGTGGTAGTGCCCACCTGTAATTCCGGCTACTCGGAAGGCTGAGGTGGAAGGATCGCCGGAGCCCAGCAGGCGAGGCTGCAGTGGCCGGGAGCGGCCACTGCACTCCAGTCTGGGCGACAGAGTGAGACTCCAACTCAAAAAAAAAAAAAAGTGTACATACACACGATGGAATATTATGTAGCCATAAAGAAGGACAAAAATAGCAACTTTGTAGCAACTTGGATGGACTTAGAGTCTATAATACTGAGTGATCTATTACAGAAACACAGAACTGAGTACCACATGTTCTCACTCATAAGTGGACCCTGAACAATTATCATAATACTGTGAGAAAGGGATTGGTAATAGTGGGAAACTGCCTTATCAATAAGGGTACCTCATCTCAAACCGGGTGAAGTGGGAACCAAAGTGAGACCCAAATTTTACTTACATAATGACCATTTGTATACCTCACCCTGAATTGTACCCCACATCTTTAAAATTTAAAAAAAAAAAAAAGATAAGTCCCTTAAAGCCAAAGTACTTTTAATGTTAGTGATTCTCTTATTTTGTTAGGATTTAACTTGATTTATACTGTTTTATAATCCCTGCAAATTTTGGGAAATAAGCATATTAAAATGTGCTTCTCCTGGCACTAGTTTCTGGATCCTTGTTTCTTTTTGGATGTTCCTGTTTAATGATCAATAACTGAAATGTGTGCATTCTTTTTTTCAAACTGTTCTTCGTTTTCCTTTGTAGGTGTTTCTGACCTAGGTGAGTCTAACATATATTTTATGTTTAAAAGCTTTGTTTTGAGTCTTCAAAGACTGAAATCTTTTTGTTAGGCCTATGATTCTTATGCTAATCCATCTAAGTAGTAGAAGTAGAATTATTTTGCATGTGATACATCTGAACTAGATATTTTTGGCATCCATGTGCTCTTTGGAACAAAAACATTTCATGAAGTGATTGGAACCCTGTAGCTGTGAGGTATGTGTGTATAATATGGATTTTTTTAAAGAAAGAACTTATTACTTATTAGAATTTCACCCGTTAAACGGTAGGAGGAAGGCTAACGAGCTTCCACGGACCATCACCCAACTTCACAGTTACCAGTCCATGGCCAGGCCCATCTGTTCCCACCCTTCCTCAGCTCATAAAGAAACAGACCCAAGTATATCCTTTCACTTGTAAATACTTGCAATATGTTTTAAAAACATAGTCACTATACCATTATGGTACCTAAAACTTAATATCAAGTTTTTATAGTCACCAGTGTTGAAGCAACCCCTTTCATTTCATAGCATTAGTTTTTATAGTTTTTTTGTTTAAACTAATATTCACAGATTTCTGGATTGAATTTGGTCAATAAATCTCTTATCCTCTTTATTTGCTTTTCAATTTTTTAATGGAGAAATTGAGTCATTTGTTATATGATTTCCCGCATCATCTTTATTTTGCTGTTGAAGCGTTTTTGTTTGTTTGTTTGTTTTTTGAGTTGGAGTCTCTGTCACCCAGGCTGGAGTGCGCTGGCACGCTCACAGCCACCGTAGCCTTGATCTGCTGGGCTCAGACAATCCTTCCACCCCCGCCTTCCAAGTAGCTAGAACTGTAGGTGCACACCATCACGCCCAGCTAATGTTTAAATTTACTGTAGAGATGAGGTCTTGCCATGTTGTCCAGGCTAGTCTCTAACCCCTGGGCTCAGGCATTCCTCTCACCTCCGCTTGCCAAAGTGCTGGGATTACAGGCATGAGCCAGCACACTCGGCAAAGTCTTAATTCTTAACCACACTTTTGGAGTGTGAGTTTTAAAATATATAATAAGAGTTTAAACCTAGATGAGAATCTTAGGGTATGGGATTTTTCAAAAACTCCACAAGTGGTTCTGATGGACAGCTCTAGTCTCTGATCACTAGCTTAGATCATGTATGTTTAGGAAAGAGAATTTGAATTTGATTGTAGGTTTCAGCATAAAATAACCCCCCCCCCTTTTTTCTTTTTGTCGGAGTGCCATTCTTCCAGCCTGGAGTGCAGTGGCACAATCATAGACACTGCAGTCTCGGATTGCTGGGCTCAAGTGATCCTTCCGCCTCAGCCTTCCAAGTAGCTGGAATTAACAGGCACATACCACCGCACCCAGCTATTTTTTAAATTTATTGTAGAGATGAGATCTCACCAAGTTGCCCAGGCTGGTCTCAAACCGGTGGGCTCGGGCAATCCTCTCAGCTTGGTCTCCCAGAGTATTGGCATTATAGTTGTGAGCCACCATGCTTGGCCCAGAAAAGAATCTTTAATTAGATGCTTATCATGACTGATCATAGTTATACATGAAAGAAAATATAGGACTGTGTGAGGCTTTGTCTTTAAAGGCAGAGTTATTGTAAATTAGAAAGTCATTTAGTTCAGATTAGAAGGGAGTCCGTGGAAAAGAACTGTTTTATCTGAGGTCCACCTAAATTATTTTGCTTGGGATTGAAAACACCTTAGTTGTTGGACATTAGCTACCACTTTGATTGGAGAATCTAAATTTCATTTCATGTCAATTTTTGCTTCACAGCTGTTGAAGTACAATGAATTAAAGGAGACTACCTTGTAGCAATGTATAATTTTGGTGAAATCATCACCTTTTACTGTGGTTTTCTGTGTAGCCGACAAGCTGTCTACTGATGACTTGAACTCCCTGATTGCTCATGCACATCGTCGCATTGATCAGCTAAACAGAGAGCTTGCAGAACAGAAAGCCACAGAGAAGCAGCACATCACGTCAGCCTTGGAAAAACAAAAGCTGGAGGAAAAGCGGGCATTCGACGTTGCAGTGGCAAAGGCGTTAGAACGTCACAGAAGTGAAATACAGGCTGAGCAGGATAGAAAGGTAAAAGAAATGGGATTCATGGCCTAATATTTCAAGTGACTCCAACGTGATTGTCTGCTTCTAGAGATCCTGGCAGTCTTGAACTTAAAACAGCTGGGCTTGGTGACTCAGCCTGTCTTCCCAGCACTTTGGGAGGCCGAGGCAAGTGGATTGCCTGAGCCTGTGGGTTCGAGATCAGTCCAGGCAGCTTGGTGAGACCTCGTCTCTACAATAAATCAAAAATTAGCCAGGTGTGGTAGTGCACACTGTTGTTCCAGCTACTCGGAAGGCTGAGGCGGAAGGATCGCTGGAGCCCTGCAGGTCGAGGCTGTGGTGTCTGGGAGCGGCCACTGCACTCCAGTCTGGGCGACACAGTGAGACTCCAACTGATAAAACACAACAAAACAAAACACTGGATGTGAGTCATGCCAGCTTGCCTTTAGAATGGTAATCAGGCCCTCATTCTGTAGTCAGAACTTCTGGGGAAGAATTGATCTAGCAGAGATCCTTTTTGTTAAACAGATGCATGGTATAAGAAATGACAAGCTGCTGAGATCCTGAGGTATCTAGTGGAATCTCTGTCCCCTAAAGCAGTGCTGAGAGAAATTTTGTTGGATTCTGAGTATATTTTCCTCTCCCAGTGAGTGTTATTAAGTGGTTGGTACCTGACCACAGCTCACTTGCTTAGATTCACACCTAGAAACAAGTGTCACAATCTGAGGTGTCCTGTTCACTTGCTCACTGTTAGTCAGCTCCCTCACTGAACTGTGCACTGTGTGAAAGCAAGAAGCCTGTCCGTCCTGAGCACTGTTGATCATAGGCAATGCCTGGCCCAGGGCTAGCGCTTCATACTTCTGCACTCACTGAATGGACTAATAAATTGATTATATTGTTTCTGAGAAAAAATAAACTCTGAGTTTCATGTGATCCATGTGAAGAAATTTGTAATGTGATCCATGGCTAACTGGTAGGTAAGAATAATTTTGGTTTGGTATTTCCCATGTTGAATTTAAATTCATGTTAAAACAGTTTTCTTTGTTTAGAAGAAATTATGTTCAACTGCCAGACACTTAATAATTTTCTTAACGATTCCTTAAAGTAGGCATTACTCACAGATGAGAAAAGGGAGACTTGAGAAGATAAATAATTTCCCCAAGGTCACATGGTTGTGGTGAAGCTATGTCTGATCCCATGTCTGCAGTTATCTTTCACATGCTAGACTTAGTTACTTTTCAGGGAAGCATGGGATTCAGGAAAGGAGTGTTTGTTTTATCTGGGAGGCAGCTTGGTGATGTGGGGGGAAAAACACAAGTTTGAGGTCTAGAGTGCCACCTGTTAGAGTCACCTTCCAATGGTCGGCTTTATGATTCATACAACATGTAGAAATAAAGGATGTGTATACATGCCAGGCACGTTGTAGGGGCTCCAGATATGGAAGCTGCTATTATGATTGTTGATACTTGTCTTTCTCTTTTCCTAAAAGTATGTGTGCAGAATTGAGAAGTAATCGTCGTCATGTTTGGTCTCACAGGTAGAGGAAGTCAGAGAAGCCATGGAGAATGAAATGCGGACCCAGCTTCGCCGACAGGCAGCCGCCCACACTGATCACTTACGTGATGTCCTGAGGGTGCAAGAACAGGAGCTGAAGTATGAATTTGAGCAGGTGAGGGCCTGTGGTCAAGTTTCACCCCTCCTCCTACATTACTGACAGGCTCTGCTTTCCTATTTTTTTCCTTTGTTTTTGAGTGGAAGTCTCACTCTGTTGCCCAGGCTGGAGTGCAGTGGCATGCTCACGGCCATCGTAGCCTTGAACTGTTGGGTTCAGGCGATCCTTCCGCCTCAGCCTTCCAAGTAGCTGGAGCTACAGGCCTGCACCACCACGCCTGGCTAATTTTTTGTAGAGATAAGGTCTTGACATGTTGCCCAGATTGGTCTCGAACCCCTGGGCTCAGGTAGTCATCTTGCCTTGCTTTCCTTTTAATGTCCTCTGAGGATGTTAAAGAACAGGCAGGGCTTTCCAGTGTTGCCTAGTCTTAGTGGAGTGGGGCTTTTCTGTGTCTGCAAGACTGCTCCTTTTTACATAGTGGTGTATCTTGTATTCAAGGTCACTTGTGTTTTTAGTATACATATTCTAGTCATTTGGAATCTTCAAAGCCTTAAGGAGGCTTGGTAAAGGGGATTTCAGGAACACAGACAGTAATACTTAACACATGTACTTCCTATTTTATTTCACAAGCTTCTGTGGATTATAGGGTAGTGCTCAATTTTATAGTTTAGGAAACTTCCCAGACTTGAAATTCAAGCAAATCATCAGGATGCCTTTTTTTTTTTTTTAATTGTGGTCTCACTCTGTCTCCCAGGTGTGGTATACAGTGGTGTGATCATAGCTCATTGCAGCCTCAGCCACCTGGGCTCAGGCGATCCTTCCGCCTCAGTTCCCCCAGTAGCTGGGACTACAAGTGTACACCACCACGTCCAGCAAGTTAAAAACATTTTTTGTAGAGATGAGGTCTTGTTATGTTGCCTAGTTTTGTCTTGGGCTCAAGCAGTTCTCCTGCCTTGACCTCCCAAAGGGCTGGGATTACAAGCATGAGCCACTGCTCCCAACCAGGATGTCTTTAATCATAATTAGTTTATACTTAGGAAATTACTTACAGTAAGATTAACTTATTTATTTTGTCTTGCAAGAAGGAAATGAAGTTTTCTAAGTAAGGAAGTCTTCCAGAAAGTTAAAATTCTGGAAGTATGAAGTTATTTTAAATTTTGATGGACTTTTTTTTCAAAAAAAATTAATGTGTAAGCTCTTAAGTAGAAGATATATTGTTAGCTTAATTATTGTGTTTAGGTAATTTGTCCCTGATTTTAACAGCTCGCTCCCTTCCTTGTCTGCTTCTAATGTTAAGCCTATCAGTATGTTTGTAGAGAATTATACATCAAATGCGAGTCATGAAAGTTTTGAAACCTTATACATAATGTAGGAGTTTCAGGACAATTGTTTTGAGATTTTATTTTTTTAATTTTAAAGATGTGGGGTCCAATTCAGGGTTAGGTATACAAATGTTCATTATGCAGGTATCATTTATTCTGAGATCTTAAAGGCCCTTTTTGCTTCAGGAGGTAGCAGTTGCTGGAATATTAGTATCCAGTTAAGTGAGATGCATTGAAGTAGCATCCTTTTTTCCTGTATACGATTTGTGTTTTATTGCAGGACTTGTCTGAGAAACTCTCTGAACAAGAATTAGAATTTCGTCGTCTTAGTCAAGAGCAAGTTGATAACTTTACTCTGGATATAAACACTGCCTATGCCAGACTGAGAGGAATCGAACAGGCTGTTCAGAGTGAGCATAAATCTGTTATCTTGTAGATAATTTTATTTAGTGCAACTCGGGATAATTTTATAAGAATAAGGGAGCAGCCAGGCTCAGTGGCTCAGCCTGTAATCCCACGCCTTTGGGAGGCTGAGGTGAGTGGATTGCCTGAGCCCGCGGGTTCGAGACCCGCCTGGGCAGCAAGACCTCATCTCTACAATAAATCAAAAAATCAGCTGGGCGTGGTAGCGCATGCCTGTAATTCCGGCTACTTGGAAGGCTGAGGCGGAAGGATCGCTGGAGCCCAGCAGGTCGAGGCTGCAGTGGCTGAGAGCGGCCACTGCACTCCAGTCTGGGCGACAGAGTGAGACTCCAACTCAAAAAAAAAAAAAGAATAATGGAGCACACACACTGATGTTAGAACATAAAGATACCAAAGTCACGTTACTGATTTTTATTCATTTTTTTGGGAAAAATTGGCCCTAGATTTGATTAAGTTTGGAAGCTAGAGAGTTGTGAGAGGAAATCTTTTCTAACAAGGGTCTAAAAATTAACTCTAAGTTCTATTTGCCATGTTGATATGACAAACCAGCATTTCCAAGGCAGTTTATCCAACACTTTGGCTGTCTTGTGTGCCCCTGGTGGTAACGTTAAGGCCAGCGAGGCCCCGTGCTCTGGAGGTGTTTCTGCTGAATCCACCCACCAGATGGGCAGTAGTTGTGCCATGTTGAGAGAGAAATGAGGGTGTTGATAAAATGGGTTTTCTTGGGATGTTATGGCATCTTTTTTTGGTCAAACAGCAATAAACATAACCTCATTACCCCTGGAATTTCAAGTTGCGGCAGTTCATTAAGTTCGTTTGAAGTCACCCAGTTCTTTGCAAGAAATTTCCGATGGCCTTTGCCATGTCGATGAGTCTTAGCCTGACTGAAATAACGTCTCTTTCTCAGTCACTAAGCAGAGCAAGATCTGGACTAGATATCTTGCAGGTGGGTGACTTCTGTGTTCTGTGGCACTGCGTCGCCCAGGGTGTCGCTGGAAGGGGTAGGGAGGTCTAGGTGTGCCTCCCAGTTTCCTCCACGACTAGTGGAAACAAGCCCTCCTCGGATCGTGTGGTGCCTTATTGCCTGGCACGAAGGGGCCGGCGGGGAGAAAACGCCGAGTCGGTCTGGCCCCACCTTCTGCTTGCGGATTCAGTCCGTGCGATGTGCTGTGGGCGTGCCCGGCCGGTGCGGAGAGCAACGCTTTCTTTGCCTCTCCCGTCAGGTCACGCGGTCGCCGAAGAGGAGGCCAGAAAGGCCCACCAGCTCTGGCTCTCGGTGGAGGCGCTCAAGTACAGCATGAAGACCTCCTCGGCAGACGTGCCCACCGTGCCGCTGGGGGGCGCCGTGGAGGCCGTCAGAGCCAGCTGTCCCGGCCACGAGTTTGCCCAGGCGTTGACTGCAGCCATCCCTCCCGAGTCGCTGACCCGCGGGGTGTACGGCGAAGAGACCCTCCGGGCCCGCTTCGCTGCGGTCCAGAAACTGGCCCGGAGGGTGGCGATGGTCGACGAGACCAGAAACAGCTTGTACCAGTACTTGCTCTCCTACCTGCAGTCTTTGCTCCTGTTCCCGCCTCAGCAGCGGAAGCCTCCCGCGGAGCTCTGCCCCGAGGATCTCAACACCTTCCAGCTGCTGTCGTATGCCTCCTACTGCGTGGAGCACGGCGACCTGGAGCTGGCCGCCAAGTTCGTCAACCAGCTGAAGGGGGAGTCCCGACGAGTGGCCCAGGACTGGCTGAAGGAAGCCCGGGTGACCCTGGAGACCAAGCAGATAGTGGAAATCCTGACGGCATATGCCAGCGCCGTGGGAATAGGGACCACTCAAGTGCAGCAAGAGTAGGGTCTGGGAGGAGTGTGCGGAGGCGTGTTTCACGTCAAAAGAAATCAGCGGCGATCTGTGGAGGGTTGGAACAAGGGTTCCAGAATTGTCTGAAAGCCAGCAGGTTCCCAGGACTGTTCTAAATGTCAACACCTGTTGCATTTATATTCTTTCCACTTGCTATCGTGTCAGTGAACTCCAGGAGTGCTTTCTTGGCAACTTGTGTAACATTTTCTGTTTTTCAGGTTTTACTGATCAGGCTTGTGAAGCCAATCAAAATGATGTTTGTGATCCCTACTACTATTGACTGTGCCCTTGGAGCAAGCTGAATAAAGCAACAAGATGAAAACTGAGTACCCTATGCCTTTTCAAAAAGTGTGTTAGTTTTCTCGTTAGTTGTGTGTGCAGAAAATTTCCTTGACAAGCAGCAATAACAAAGGTAGAAACAATCTGGCCACATGGAATTTCCAAGCTGTGAGTTGAGTCACCAGAAGTCCAAAGCCTGCTTCTTGGTTTTGACGGTTTTGGTGAATGGATTTCTGCTGGTGTAATGTGTGAGCCAAAATGCCGGTGTATTTTTAGTTGGGGACGTATCATTCTAGTGATTTATGAGAAGGTTGGTCTCTACCCACAAATTAAGTCAACAGCTCTCTGAAACACTGTTGATGGACCTTGCTCCTTTCCAGTACCTGGGCTGTGTGTCTCTTCAAAGGGGGAGGTGGCAGAAGCCTAGAACCTTAACCAAGGGATTAAACAATTTTGTGGTTTGTTTGAACTACACTGCCATAAAACCCAAAGAACTTTCTGTACCTTTCTAAAAATTAAGACAGTGGCCATATTGGATAAACACATTTTTTTTACTGTGAAGATTACCACCTCTACCTAAAAATACTGCCAACTTTGTTTTCAAAATCACATTTTTTCTTCTTGTTGGGGTTTGTGTGTTCCCAAAGGAGGCACTACTATCTGAGCACCACCTGTGGGTGATGTTAATTTTCCTTGTGTTCTTTGCTAAGTGGATTTTTAATTCAACAAAATACATCTAGTCTCCCTGATGGGAACACATGCTTTGTGTAATGCCCTTTATCTTTTGAAGGCAGGGGACTCTGGCCACCTGTTTAGGGACTAATAAGTTTTTACTAGAAGATAATGGAACTGTTCTAAGTTCAGTCTTTGAATGAAATTGCAAAGTACATTACCTTATAAAGCTGAATGTACCTATTTGTCGTATTAGAAATACTTGTAATTTCTTACTCGTATGAGATATATAAAATACTAAAATTCTGAGGAAATCCAGGTTTCTCTTGGAGCCCTGAAATAACTTCCTTCAGATGTGAAGTGAGCGATACTGAGCGGCTTATTTTAGCTCTGTAAATCAAAACAACAAAGACCACACATTTCCGAGTCTTCGTTCTTTTAGAGCTGTGCACCCCTCCGTTACTTACGAGGAACCAGGGTGACACTGGATAGGGGACTCTGTTGTCCTTCCCCATGCTGAGCAGAAACCTCCCAAAAGTCACTCGGTAGCCACTCGTGTGAAAAGAAGGCAGAGCCTTTACTTGAGTTCTCCATGGCCCTTCGAGGAGATGCAATCCAAAGGACCCAGTCTATGGGGAGGGTGGGCATAACCCGAGGCATTAGCGTGGGGCAGCTTCACGCCTGCGTATTTTCATTTAGCTCCAAATGCCGAGTTGATCTGCTGCCACCTAGACTTGTCTCATTTCACTGTCTCGGTCTGTCTTAGCCTGCAGTTGATGACCTGATTGCTGAAGGACCGTGTTCAACATTTTTAAACCTGTGCCTCCTGATGTAACATCCAAAGTCTGGTGTTTGGTTTCATGTTGTCTGAAGTTCCAGAATCAATTACATAACGAGCTGAAACATAATTTTAGACATTCTTTTTTTTTTTTTTTTTTTTTTTGAGTGGAAGTCTCACTCTGTCACCCAGACTGGAGTGCAGTGGCCGCTTCCGGCCACCGCAGCCTCGACCTGCTGGGCTCCGGCGATCCTTCCGCCTCAGCCTTCCAAGTAGCCGGAATTACAGGCATGCGCCACCACGCTCGGCTGATTTTTAGACATTCTTTTTTAAGGCATACTACTTCTGTATTTCTTTGTATTAATTTAAATCCTATGCTCTTAGCAGGCTCGGGATAAAAGCAGCCTCCAAGTCCCAGATGAGATGTGCCACCCGTTGTAGAGTAACTTGCTTGACTCAGGGTGGACCAAATCGTTTGTGTTAACTCGGAAGGAAATAAAGACATGTCAGGCAAATTCTCATCAGGTCCAGCAGTCACCACACCCCTGATCTCCAGATCTGTGCTTCCCTGGTTTCCTTCCTGTCGACACATCCAAGGCCATGAGGTTGGCCAGGGGCATGAAAAAACAGGATGGGAGCAGAGAGGGTCCCCTGGCCACTGCAGCTCTTGCCCATAGGAGGCCTCACTAGTTACCTGTATCGAAGGGCTTCCCGGTGGGGTTATGCAGCAAGGGCCAGTAGAGGGGGCCACCGTCGTGGGTACAGATGCCATCGGTGCCCGTGGCAAAGCTTAAGTTGTCCTGGAAATAGGTCATCGTGACCTTTAATCCTGCTGGACCATCTTCATTTTCAAGCCTCTCATTTTACTGAGCTGTGAAAAGTATCCTTGGGCTTGATCCTTAGTAGTCCTGGGATCCATCAAGTCCACTACTGGGCAGGTTCAGCTGGATAGCGATTTTTTGATAGGCTGCTCTCTGGGTCAGGCTGAAGATGTGTTCGCTGACTTGTGTAGCTTCCTTTGGATTACCCCATGTTCTAGCACATCCCCTTACACCAACCAAATGAAGTCTGCCCATGTCTCTGGTGAAATGCCACTCTTTAAGGTCCAATCTAAATGGTTCTAGAAAACCTGCCCGTGCCCACCTGTGCTTCTCATTTCCTGTTTCAGCGTCGACTGTGACCATTAAAAACATACATCATGATCTAGTACACTTATGTATTTCTATATGCACATCTGTTGCAACGTTAAAAAAACCCACAAAACTGCATGTGCTTAGACTCGAATTCCATTTCATTAAATTCTAGTTACCCACTAAAGCTGATTTCAAACCCTGCAGTTTGAAGGACAAACACTACCCCCCGCCCCTTTTTTTTGAGTTGGAGTCTCACTCCGTCACCCAGGCTGGAGTGCAGGGGCACGCTCCCGGGCACCACAGCCTCACCTGCTGGGCTCCGGCAATCCTTCTGCCTCAGCCTTCCAAGGAGCCAGAACTACAGGCCCACACTACCACGCCCAGTCTCGCCAAGTTGCCTAGGCTGATCTCGAACCCGCGGGTTCAGGTTATCCACTCACCTCAGCCTCCCAGAGTGCTGGGATTACAGGCTGAGCCACCAAGCCCAGCCAACATTACCCTATTTTATAGAATATGGGCATATAACCCATGACAGGACAGTCTAGCATCTTTTCCTGTAAGCCTAGTGCCTGGCACATTGTTCATATGCAGCTAAGGATACTAGAGTTTTAAAATCAATGAAATCTTGGCAGAGATGGTAGCATTCATTAAAATTCACTAAGCATTTACTAAGCAGCATGTAGGTGCCGGATTTGAGTTTGATTCCAAAGACATTTGGGGCCTTTATTTGCTTGAATACTTTTAAGACAGTCTGTTTAGAGTCCTCAGATGTTATGGTGAACTAAAGACCTAGTTTTTTGTTTTGTTTTGTTTTTTAAGTTGGAGTCTTACTCTTTCCCCCAGGCTGAAGTGCAGTGGCTTGCTCAACAGCCACCCCAGCCTCGACCTGCTGGGCTCCAGCGATCCTTCCGCCTCAGCCTTCCAAGTAGCTGGGAACTACATGTGTGCACTACCATACCTGGCTAATTTTTTGATTTATTGTGGAGGTCTCACCGTGTTGCCCGGCTGGTCTCGAACCTGCGGTCTCAGGCAATCCACTCACCTCAGCCTCCCAAAGTGCTGGGATTACAGGCTGAGCCACCGAGCCCAGCCTAAGACCTAGTTTCTAACCACACACTGGTCACCTAACTTTGAGGCAACGTAGAACAAGCTTACTCCACATATACTGACTCTTCCTGTTCTTCCCAGCCCGTGGGAGTCTTCACTCCCACTTGCTCTTCTGACACTCTGGTTTCTCCTGTCCCTTTAAAAAGAGTTACACAGAGTCTCACTGTCCTCAGTTCCTACTTTACAACACATGCTCGCTTTACATAATGTTAATCACAATGCCTTTCAGCTCTGGTGTCATTAAAGCAGCATGTCCCCTTCGATGCTCAAGGCTTTTCGAAACTTGATTCTGGTTCTAAGTGAATTTTAGTCATAACTCAGAGCTGTCTTCACATCCATCTTGTTTTTAAACAAGATTTTAAAAACATTTTAATGTCAAGTTTCAGGTGATATGTCTTTTTCCTATATAAATGCCAGCTGAGAAATGTCTCACTGGCACTGTTTCATGGGGGAGGGGGGTGTTAAGAAACGAGGGCCTCTGCTATAGCAAGAAGCCACTTGTTTCACTCCAGGCCTTTTAGGGATGTGCTTGAGCAGGGAGGAAGTAGATGGACAGCACATCGAGGCCGCTTGTCAGAAACAAGGAACAACACCGTCAAAAGGTCAACTTTAAAACTAAAGAGAAAGGGGAACTCATATGCACAGGTTTATGAACAGAGGTTGGGAGCCAGTGGACCACTGGGAATGCAGCTGGGACCAAAAGCAAAAATTGGAGAGATTATCAGTTTCAGCATAGAAAAGTCTCTTTTCCAGATACTAGAAGCTTAAGACTGTGTGAAATAAACATTTATAAACAGAAAACGGAGACTCCTATAGGCCTTAATTTTTCCCTGAAAAGTTCAAGGCCGTTACTTGGTCAGAATGGATGTTCAGAGTATCTCGCCCAAAACTGAGTTCTCAGTCACCTACCTGGAAAGTGCACTCCGCAGGCTGATTTTCCCCACCAGCGCTAGCTGCAGAGCGACATGATGATTCAGAGTTAGGGCCTTGTTGAGAAGAGGCACACCTCACGTCAGGATTCTACTGGCCAATGAGGGTCAGGTCTCTGCAGCAGGTGCTGTGCCAGAGCAAGAGGAAGGGGCTGAGCTCACCTTCCAGGCAGCAGGTTCTTGGGAGCTACAAGCCAAGATTAAAAACTAACTTATCCTCGGTCCGTCTGCAAGTTTGCTTTGACGTGGAGCAACACACATGGATACTTAAGTAGTTAGTTTCTACACTGGCGTTTTTTTGGTCCCTCAGAACCAGCCAGTTGAAGAAAACATGAACCTAAGGCTGAGATTTCCAAGGATGTATGAGGAGAGGATGGCAAACTGAGAAGGAAACGAATGCTAACAGACACGCAGCCCCATGTATGTCCACCTGGGCAGGGTAACAGTGAAGCTGCTCATCGGGAGAACTCACGCAGGGCCTGCCTCAGTCTAGAATCCAGGTGCGAACACAGTTGCTGGTGGTGGAAGCCCTTAGGAAGGTAAGAAGGCTGTAAACCTCAAGAGCTCTTACTGACTTCCAACACCACTTAAAAGTCAAGGTGTTATGAGAAACACTAGAAGTAGAGGCTGCTAACTAACTCGAGAACCAGCAATTCACTGGCTCTCATTCTGACCACTAAAGGTGCCAGTTCTCAGACAAAAAGAAACAGAGAGATGAAGCATGCTGGCATTCTACTTGGAAGACTGTGGCCAAGGCTGTGTTAAAATAATGGAAACGCATACGCATACACATGGATGTTTATTTAGTTTTCATGTTACCAGTCATGCAGCCTAAACTGTCACCATCCTATTCCCTGATAAAAGTCAAGGACCTCACTATGTGTCTGAAGAAATGAAAATGGCAGTGCTTAAATAATAAACTTTAAACGGCACACTAAGGTTTAACAAATTAGGAGCTTAATCTAAACAAGTCAATGCTGTCTCGGCTGTACTTCCTAATAACAAATGCACCAAATCTGTGTGTCTTCTTGTTTTCTTCATAACGCTGTTAGGTATTAGCATCTCAGGTTTCAAGCATGCTTCCAGCAGCCATGGTGAGGCCGTCACTGCTCCCGCGCCTCCCACTTTCATTTGCCTTCGCTGATGTCGCTGTCACTGCTGCTGTCACCATCACTGTCACTTGTCAATGCAGTTAGGTTGCCCAGGGCTTCCCTGCAAGAAAAAGAGCCTGGAGGTCACGCTGCAACTCGGGTGGAGCCTGGGTTTCGTGGCATCTCTGACCACCAGTTGTGAAACCAGAATGAAAGACCTCGCAGCTGTACCAAATTGTATCACGAACAAAGGAAAAGGCTCCTATGGTCGCTGAATCTGTAGGACTCCCTGACTATGACTAATGAAATGATCATTAAGTCATTACATTCTGACTTTGGAAAAGGAAACACAAGAGACAGAAAGCTATAAACATTTTAACAAGCAGAGGGACAAAAGGTCTGCTCCATCTTATAAACTGTCCTTCATAGCGAAGACACAAAATCCACTCACTTTTGTTCCTGGCTGAGTGCAAACTCAGTCATTACTCTCGTGGTGAGACTCTCACAAACCAATAAACTGAAGGCACTTGCCAGCTCCACCAGTTCAATGGCCTGGGCAGGGCTGTTGGACACTTTCGCGCTGTCCATGAACTCATTTAGCAACTCGTTTCTATCAAAGAAAGGCAAAATGTGAACATTCTCCAACTAAGCCCCATCAGTCAGATTTACAAGCAAGATCCAGCATAAATTCAGTAATAAAATCATCAATAATGCTTGGCATCGTGGCTCACACTGTAATCCCAGGAGTTCGAAACCAGCCTAGGCAACATAGCGAGACCTGATCTCTAAAAAATTGGAAAATGAGCTGGGTGTGGTGGTGCATGCCTACAGTCCCAGCCACTGGGGAGGTTGAGGCGCAAGGACCACCTGAGTCCAGGAGGTCAAGGCTGCAGGGAGCCGTGATCGTGCCACTGCATTCCAGTTGGGTGACAGAGTGAAACTCCGATTCAAAAATAAAATACAAATCCTCAATGGTGGCTTTGGAGGCAAAGTTACATGAACTAACTTTTGAGGACCAAAGAGATTACCCACATTCACTCAGTACGACTTCACTGGGGGGTCTACTCAATGCGCCTCCGCTGTATTGCGGTCCTGAGCACAGATTAAAAACTCTGCTTGCCTTGGGATGCCCAGGAGGGGAGAGTGATGGCTTGCCTGCCTAACAGAAGAGTGTCCAAATGTGGTGGCTGAGGTACATGAAGAAATTACAATCACCCACAATAAGAGTTAAGCCCAAGAGACTATTTCCAGGCTTTTCCCAGGCAAGGCCTGTTAATTTCAACTTACCTAGGAATCTTATTATGCTTCCTGAAAAGTCCCAACATTTTCCTGTTGAAGATGAGAGAGGAAAAAGATTATGAATACCAATAAAAAAATAAGGCAATCAACAAGGCGCAGTGGCTCATGCCTATAATCCCAGCACTCTGGGAGGCGGAGGAGAGAGGACTGCCTGAGCTCAGAGGTTCAAGACCAGCCTGAGCAACATGGCAAGACCTCATCTCCACAATAAATTAAAAAATCAGCCAGGTGTGGTGGCACATGCCTGTGGTTCCAGCTACTAGGAAGGCTGAGGCAGATGTATCACCCGAGCCTGGCAGGTCAAGGCTGCAGTGGCCATGAATATACCACTGCACTCCAGCCTGGGTGACAGAGTGAGACTCCAACTCAGAAAAAACGTAACAAACCAAAAATAAGGCAGTCAATTAGATGACTATAGCTATCCTCCCCTGGACTCAGAGACTAAGGGTCCTTTTCTTCCCAACTACACTGTGAGCTCCCAAAGATACACATCTGTGGACTCCGATGGCTCCCAACCCTGTCTGTACATCACAATCACCTCAGGTGCTTAAACTCCCTCCCTCCAAACTCTGACTATCTGCATCATGAGTTTCACAGGTAAACTGTATATACAACCAGTGTTGAGAATTCCTGGTACAGGTTGAGTCTCCCTAATCCGAAAATCCAAAATCTTTAACTTCTTGAGTGACCACATGACGCTCAAAAGTGTCTTCTGGATTTTGAGATTAGGGATGCTGAACTGATATGTATAATGCAGATACTCCAAAACCTGAAACACTTTTGGTCCCAAGAGCTTTGGAATGCTCAACCTGTACCTGTCTCTTGTAGAGGATCTCCTCTGTCCTCCCAGGGAGGTAATACATGGTATGTGCAGTTGGGAGGCCTGGGACAGAGGATGGTCTGCTCTCCTCTCACAACGTGGCACGGGTTCAGTCTGTCCAAGAATTACACTATGAAGAGCAGGCTCAGAATTGCGGCAACAGTCTCATGCAAGTGCTCACCGTCACCCTGCCACGTGCAGGGCTAAGGGGACGCACATACATTCAGCTCCCATGACTCAGCTGAGGTCCGTACCCCTGCGCCAATCATCACAGCCTGATCATAGTAATTATGTGCCAACTGGCCTGAACCACACAGAAGTCACATGTTTCTGTCAGTCGCAGCACAGCCGTAGAGGGTCGTGTGTGAGTGACACCTGAAGACAAGTTGAGGCAGCAAGCCCTCACCATCTTTTCTTGGAGAGAGTTAATAGCCACGTTTTGGACCGGCAATCCAATGTTTAAATAAAGCTACATTCTTGTACAAGGGGCCGCGCACAACTCGTTCCCACTTACGCTGAGAACACACATTCATACACCGCAGAATCACCTAACTCTGAGCACCCCTACAAAATGTCCTTCTGACTTTTGGAAAAACATGCATAACATCCCCACTCACCAACATCAAAAAAAGTGTGTGGATGAAGTGCTGCTACACATACAACCAGAATACGGCGGCACAAATCCAAGACGGGTTCCAGTTAAGGCCATGTTTATTAAATGTGTGTAAATGCCAGCTTCCAGGAAGTTCAAGTACACAGCCCACATTTTAAGCTGTGGGGGTAAGAGCACTCAAAAATGCTGCTTTCAAAACCCAAGTGACCAAACCATTTTCAAAACTACGTTTCTCTGACCACGTCGTTCCACTTAAGAAGACAAATGAGTTAAGTGACCGACGTCCCCACAGACACAGGAAGCAAAAAGGTCAGAAACAGAGGCTACTCAGCCCACTGGAAGCCATCAAAGTACCTTCTCTCAAATGCACCCTGCACATCGGTCTTCCAGACGTTCGCTTTTCAGCTGGTTTTGCACGTTTCCGTCAAACACTCATTACACGTTCTAGTTTGGCTCTAGTCTGGCTCCTTGTACACGTCATACAGCCAAGTCAGAGAGCCTCTACTGACCTGGGTAAATGCTGCAGGTTCAAGTACAAATGTTTCCATAATTCATACCTGCAGTACTCACCAGGCTTCTTGGGTTCTTCCGGCCCTTAAAAAGAGGACAGCTATACAGTTGAGAGGGATGGCTGGCCAATCCAGAGCAGCCTGTCGGGTGTCTTGGCTTTCATACATAGACTTGATGTCGGCAGCACAGTCAGCAAATGCCACCTGAAGCTGAAAGGCTTTAAGAATCAGCAGAACTGCCTAACTGGGTTTGCAAAAATTTCAGTTGAAGAGACCACGACAGGACCGCTGCTATTTCTGAGCAATGCATTTTACTATTTGAATGTATCACGTGTAAAGCACACACATACTCTAGGAAAAAGGACCCTGTCCTGGGATGAATAATTTGATTAGCCATATCTTTCAAATTCAATTAGGCCTTTTCCTTTCAGATGTGAAAAAACCTTTTAAGTAAGTTGAAGATGAAGAGAAGCCAATTTCATGTTGCTTGTTTTGGACTGCGGGAATAGGAAATGACTTTAAGCGTGGCATTCTTGCTTAGATGAAGAACTTAAACCTGGGTTTGCATGGCAGAACTCCCCTCAATGACAGATGAAAACAGGGAAATGACCTTAAAAGGACCTCAGCGTTAGAAGCTACATTGGTTAGTATACTTCTAATTACGAGAACAAAACTTAAGTTACACGACAGCCCTACCTCTGGTGGGTGGCTATCCCTTGCCATGAGCATCAAGATCTCTTCTCTCAGGTCACTGCGAAAAGCGTGCCCATATTCTTTACTATCTTGAAACAAAAAGGAACAAGGGGTAATCACCATCATGTAAAACCAATAGTCTTCGGCTGACTTTTGACCACCGCTGGCTGTCAACCTTATTTTTTGGTGGGCAAAAATAAGCTGCTGACATTGCTTATTCCAGGATTCCAGAGATGATTACAGTAAGAATAGGTAAGTACAGAGAAAGCCAGAAGCTTGTTCCCAGTCAGGAGTCAAACAGAGCACATGCACTACAGCTGACACTGCTTCACAGCACCTAGGAACTTTCAGTGTGCTTTCTTCATATTTACTCATTTAAAAGATGTGGACTACAATTCAGGGTTAGGTTCGCAAGTGGTCACCATAAAGCCTGGGCCTTCCTTTGGTCCCCACTTGGCCTGGTTTGAGATCAGGTACTCTCAGTGTGGTTTCATATACACACATTTCATATACAGGAAGTCTCGTTAAGTAGCAGGTCAGGACTGTAGCTTCAGTTTCTCAGACACAGAAACTGCAGCAGATAAAACCAACTTGAAGATAACACAGGAAGAGATCCAAGATACCTGTCTCATCTTGCAACCAATTTATATACACAAAACATACACGTAAGTCAGACCAGCACACACACCCACAGTCGTGGCTGTTTAAGGAAGACAGTTATCATGGGCTGGTTAGCAAAGTGATGCAACACTAGCACAGAAAAACGGCACTGGCTTGGGGTGCCATTTGGGGTCAAAAACCTACACTCAAATGTCGGGTCTGCTACCTAATGAGCACCAATCTTTCTTGCATCAATCATGTAACACATGCCCAAAAATGAAGGGACTTGGGTCATTTTCAATACATTTTTACTTGCGCTATCCTTGAGCATATGCAGTGGGAGCAAGTGACCTTGAAGTAGATCTCAACTAATGCATTTAACTCAGTCAAAAACAATGTTTTCATTCCCAACCATAATACCAGCATGTTCATTCATCTAAATGAAGGATACCGAAGTGAGATGGGCCTGGACATACAAGTTGAAACTGACCTTTCCAAATCTGAGGAATCACTTCTAGCCGATTGGCCACATCCAAGGCTTGGAGAAGATCTATCAATGTTTGGGAGTGGGGAAAGAAGACCTGATTAAGAAAGACACATTTTTAATGCACTAATCAGCAAAACTCCACAAATTCCCTTAAAATGATAAATGACAAGTAATGACCATCTTACCGAGGGGATCAGGTCCTTATACCACTTCAAGGTGACGTCAATTTGGTCCATTAGACAAATCAAATTGAAGAACTTGGAACTGTAATGGAGAGAAAAGTATATTTAGTCTAAAATCCTGTGTCTAACAAGTAAGGGAAATGATTAGTAAAATTACAGATTAGTTATATGATGTTGCAAAGAATTTTAAAATATTTACAATTTCAGGTTACATGGGCCAATGCTTGACCCAGGAGTTGTGTGCTTGACTTCCCATTCAACTCCTTCTTACCCTCAACTGGTCATTTATGATTGTCTCCTCATATACTTCTAGGTTGTGGCGAGGAGATACCGAACATCATACTCATTTGTAAAACATTCAGTGTCAAGCAAAGATTTAAACACATAGAAAATAATCCTCACATATCTATAATAGGCTGCCTTCTTAAATTCAGGTTTTTATATACCTAAAAGCAAACTCATTTATGGAGCCTCTCGACTTCAGGGTCTTGTACTTTGAATACAAAATCAATGGGGCTAGGATGAAATCTTTAGAAACTAATCCTGCTAGGCCGGGCACAGTGGCTTGGACCTATAATCCCAGCACTTTGGGAGGCCAAGGTAAGAGAATTGCCTGAGCCCATGGGTCAAGACCAGTCTGGGCAACTTGGCAAGACCGCATCTCTACAATAAATCAAAATAATTAGCCGGCATAGTGGCATGTGCCTGTAGTTCCAGATACTTGAAAGGCTGAGGCTGAAGGATTACCTGAGTACAGCAGGTTGAGAGTGCAGTAACCGGGAGAGTGCCACTGCACTCCAGCCTGAGCAACAGAGTGAGACTTCAATTCAAAAAAAAAAAAGAAACTCATAATATAAAGCGAGAGGGGTAGAGGAAAAAGGCAAATTTTAAAGTATTGCAAAGAGGCTGGGCTACATAGCAAGACCCTATCTCTACAAAATAAAAAAATTAGCCAGGCATGGTGGCACACACCTGTAGTCCTAGTTACTCAGGAGGTTGAGGAGGGCTATCTCTTGAGGCCAGGAGTTTGAGACCAGCCTGGGCAACATAACAAGACACCACCTCTATGAAAGCAATATAATAAAATACTGCAAAGAAAAAAATCTCAAAGGACACAAACCAGACTTCCAAATCTGGCAGTTTTACCACTGCTTTAATTTCTGTGCACTCAACTAACAAGTACTATTAAATCAGGGGTGTGCTGCTTAAAACCAGAGGTGAAACATGAAGGGCCACCAACAGCCTGCCGCTTGCATACGCTAATTAATGCAAAAGGATACATTTCCAACACACTTACTAATAGAAATTACGCCGATGATCGTGTCCAATGAATTTCCGGTTGTCTCCAGTGTTTAAAAGGCCATGTACTTGGTAAGCAAGTTCTAGATCTCTGAGAGAGGAGCACTGAAAATGTGCAAGTCATAAGTATCACTCTGATATCCTTATCAGCTAAACAGAGGTTCATTACATAAAAAAGTTATCTTTCCTCCTGGGCACAGTGGCTCACGCCTGTAATTCCAGCACTTTGAGAGGTAGTGATAAGAGGACTGCCTGAGTCCAGGAGTTCAAGACCAGGCTGGGCAATTTGGAGAGATCTTGTCTCTACAATAAACCAAAAAATCAGCTGGGCGTGATGACCTGCACCTGTAGCTCCAGCTACTTGGAAGGCTGAGGCAGAAGGGTCACCTGAGCCTGGCAGGTCAAGATTGTGATGGTCATAAGCACACCACTGCAATCCAGCCTGGGTGACAGAGTGAGACTCCTACTCAAAAAAGAAAAATTTATTGCTCCTTGTGAGAATATTTATGCTGACTCAACTTACGGGTTGATAGCAAACATGTCAGGAGAAATTGGGGGGACCCCAAGTTTTGTGAAATTTATAACAAAGTTATTTTGACTTAGCAATTATGTCTTTAGAAATTAATCCTATAAAACACCTAGGTGAGTACACAAAAGACCTGGAGTACCATTACTATGATAGCAAAATCTCCACGAAATAACTCTAAGTTCTATAGTTCTTTCCTCCTGTGAAATACTGATTACTGTCAACAAAATACCACGGAGGTATAACTGAGTGTACGTACATTGAGTATCAATAGGGAAAACTGTGGGGGGGAGATGCTCTAGCCAATAAGGCAATTACAAGGGATAATCAACCACCCTTAGGAATAAGATGCCTGTATCCATCCTATAACGGCTTAAATTCTTTCCTATGATCCTGATAAAAAAAACTAAAATAAAAATCATTATCTATTTTTATTGTTGCTAATAGGCAAATATGAAATACTCTGAAAACATATATGAACAGAAGCATGAAAAAAGTCACATGCAATAAACATAGGGTAGGGATATTATGTGATTACGAAGTACAGATTTTAGAGAAAGAAGAAAAACAGAAACACAGACATAAGCAGAAGAGTTAGGAAGTGAAACAACCAGGGACAACCCTCAGGTTTCAGATGAATTTAGGAAATCGACAGAGAATTAAGAAAGAAATGGTACTTACAACTCTCATGGCTGACTGAAAAAACATATCTGGAAATCAAAGTTCACAAGAGCTTTTGTTACTATGGATTAAATATATTTTCAAGTCAGTAACATAATAAAAATCTTGCCAACAAAACTGGTAATACTCAAGATAAAGCTAAGGGAATAAAAACTCAAGAGCGGCAGCATACAGCGATGTGCCAGACGTTGCAGCCTTCTCAAAATGATCATCCCAAATACCATTAAGCTAAAGAAAACCCTGTTGTCATCACAAGGTCCCCACCGATTGGCTCTCATGAAAACTGGTCCTCAGTCTTTTTCTGGTAAACACAGGCAATTTCTGTACATACCGTCATCTGGGTCCTCTGGAGAAAATTTCTTTCCCGTTAATTCATTCATTATATCATAGATGATGAGGGATGATCCTTTCGAAGAGCTTCCTGCAGAACAAGAAGCAGCATGTTCCATCATGAGTCCACTAAACTCAAGGAACAAGCAGTAGCATGTTCCACCACCATCGTACCCACAGCACCCAGTACGAAGGCACATGTGGCTTCCTTCTGCATCTTCAGCCTGAGGCCTGGCACAGAGCAGGGCAAGAGGCCACTGCACCCTGCAGAATGCAGTTCTCTGTAGATCTTGGATGGTCAGAGGTCTCTGCCCACATGCTTCAGTTCAACTTTCCCCTTCCTTTCTCTCACCAAACCAGCATACCCAGAAAAGCAAACATGTTTTTCGCAAGTAACAATTTGTGTTCCTTTTAAGTATAATCAGAATGAGAAGAGCAAGAAAAAGGAAACTGGAATAAACGAATGGGGCAGTTCTTAAAAATCACAGGAGCGGAGCACTAACAGTCAGAAAATCACCTGCAATATTCCCAGTCAAATTTTATCTATTCTCTCTTCCCTGCCTTTTCTACACATAAGAGGCAATACAGCTGTAATGATAGCACATATTTCCTCAAACATGTTTCTACTTGCTAACATTCCTAATTATTAGTTACATAAGAATCTACTTTTTAATGTATCATTTCATTGTTATTTTAGGCTCTCTCCTTTGGGTAAATTCCTGGAAAATTATTATTGTAGACAGTCAACTTATATACATAAGACAAACCAACACTTCTCCCGGGCATTACTTGGGGAATATAGCTACTTCTGACTTTGGTTGGCAACTGAACTAAAGTGATAATAAAACAGAAAAGAAACAGACTCTGGGGTCAGAAATACTAGTTTCATCATAATCTCACCAAGTTTGTATAAAACTTTAGAGGATACAATAAAAATGGAAACTATTCCCAAGATGAAGTCATTTTTTCATTTTTTCGGTAAAAGGTTAAAAAAAAAGAACTTGCCTAAGTAAGTGAGGATGTGGATTTTGCAAAATTAGCCCTCCAGACCAGACAACCGAGTTCCCTTCTGTAGTTCTTAGCATCTATCACAAAGAGGAATGACCTAGGGGCTCTGTCTCAGGCTGGGGCAAGCAGGCAAGAACCAAAAGACTCCGAGTGCCTCCATGTGCCTCCCAAGTATGATCCCAGACATGGTGTGTGTTTTGCTCCATCACCACACCCTGAGGTGGGCACTCAGCAGGTGTCCAGTCCCTCTGACACACAAGTGGCACATACATGGTAGAGCTGCAATCTCAGCTCCAGTGTGCTTTGCGCCCACATCCTTCTGCATAGCGCAGCTCCAACGGGAACTCACTGGCCTACAGATGGCTGGTAAATGGAGACTCGAGGTGTCCTCCCAAAAAGTTTCACAGTAAGCTGAGCACTTTCTGCAAAGACGGAGATGCTCTCTACCTACAGAACACGGTAGCCACTAGCCACGAGGCTCCTGAGCACCAACGTGACCAGAATGTTTTGTTTTCTTTAGCTTCCATTCCCCAACCAGCGTGGCCCATGCCTGCTGTGCTGGACAACACAGCTCTGGAGGCCAAAAGGAACTCCAAACAAATAACTTCTGCCCAGTCTGACTTGTACAATAACAAAATGCTGCACATTTCACAACCCTTCCCCCTACAGCACAAGTCCAGCCCACCACCAAGACCAATGCCCCCAAGAATGAGTTTTTGTTCAGGCTGTAGGCATGAGTTTGAGTTCTCTCTTCTGAACTCATGCAGAGAAGGCAATCTGCAATCATCAATCACATAAACTCAAGAAAGTCAGTCACTTTTCTCTACAAATGAATACAATATAAGGCCATACGTACCATGACCATGGGGATAGAATAGCTGAATAACATGGTGGTACGTTGCAAGCGAGGGTTCTCAAATCACCAGGTGGAGAGAAAAAATAAAAAATAAAGTAAAAACACAGTGATCCAAAATAGAGCTTACTGAGGCACTCTGAATTATAGGCACATTAATGTTGATATTTAAGCACAGACATTTCTACCCCATCTAATTAATGTAAAAGGTGAAAAACTCAAAGACTGCATCACTTTCAGAAAGTCCATGTATCTACCAATATAATTCTTCATTGAGAAGAGTAAAGCACACTGACGTGAACTGAGTCCCAAGTAACCTTCAATACAGCAATGAAGAGTATACAACATACTAGCACACGCTAGGGTTCAAATACCTCTGTTAGAAAAATGTCATGGAATTTAAAGTAGCTAATTCAAAATGATTGATTCTCTTCAGAATCAAGAGAGTCACTAAAAAAAAAAGTACCTAAAATACTAAAAGAACATTGTAACTTCCTTTAACGAACACTAGGATGACAAAAGTGCTCCCACCATAATAAGAACATGTAATTCAGGTGCCAGATATGGACAGGAAAATCCCAACATATGTAAACAGCAAGAGAACGTACAGATCTCTGCTTATATCATCCTGAATCCTGTGGTCAGCACAGTCCCTGTCTCCAGTGAGAACTCCAGGACACATCCTCACCTATTCCGATGGCTTTCATTTCACGTAACGTCTGTAGAGCTGGCAATCTTGCAAGCACATAAAATCTTCGGAGGCATTTCAGAATGGTATTGAAAGTCTGCAGATTTGGTTTTACCTTTTGTGCAACCATTTGTTTCAGCAGCTCCTAGTTGAATCAAATGAAAGCATGTTTTATGCCTGGGTAGATAATCTGCACAATCATCGACATTTCATACAACGAGAGAATTCAACTTTCTCGCTATATTTAAAGCAGGTTAGTAACTATAGCCTCAATTTAAGAACTATTTATTGAACAGAACCAGTGATTCTCATTTTCGGAACCTCCCAATTCAATCATCTACCTAGAAGAGTTTTCCAAGAAAAGACTCAAGCAAAATAAAAGACCAGCAAGATATAAAACACATGTCTATTCCTAAGTTACTAGACAAGAATCAATCCAGTGTTTTCAACTTTTTGAACTTACCTGATAAGAACTTTACAATAAAGATGCATTACTTTTGTAACAGAAAAACTATTATGAGACATAAGTGAATAAATAAGAGAATAAAGCCAACTCTAGTCTTCCAGAATTCTAGCTGAACGCTCTGGGTCAAGTCACATTTTCTTCTCATGTGTCAGACACAGCTGCTTAAATTACAGGACTGCCGGAAGGGTGGTAGACAGCGAACCGCTACACAGTGACAGCAGACAGATGCTCAGTAAATGCCATCTCCACCCGATGAATACCCAGGGAAGGCTATGTAAGGCCTATTAAATGATAAACTAAGGATTCCTCCTTACCAGTATATTATTCCACTTTTCCTCAAATTTCTCATTAATCGTCAACACTGTTGCTTCAATCAATGCATTGAATGTGTAAACATCGGCTGTAAAAGAATAAAATTACAAAATTTGGGGTGAAGATTAACCCCTGAATGGCTGAGCTTAAGCAAAGTGGAAATTCATGTGTCCCCTGGCTAATCACCACACACCCACAAAACCGGAAAACCACTCTCCTCTCCGGTCTCTATTCCTGCTTCAATCACCAATGCCAAACGGAAAGACAAAACATAGGCCAAAGCTTGAGGCAAGATCCAAAGATCTCACAGATATCTCAAAGAAGGAAGAGATGAAGAGGAGTTCTTAAAACAAACTCACCACAGAGTCTGTTGTTTAATAATTCAGTGTACAAATTTAATGCCTGTTCATAAGCTCGGTGCTGGAAAAGGAAAAGAAAAAATAAGCATCATCAGGTTCATTCATTTAAAAAGTACTTGCACATCATCTGCTCTAAGCTTTGGGAATATAGCAGTAAACAGAACAGGACAGGCCCCTGTTCCCCAAAAGTGTACCCTTGAGTGCAGTGGTTTTCTGCCCAGGGGACACTGGCAATGCCTGAACATACTGTCAGTTGCCACAATGGGGGCAGTGGAGGCATGTACTACGCATACGCAGTGGGCAGAGGGTAAGGAGCTATTGAACATCCCACAATGCACAGCCCAGGCCCACAAAACAAATTATCTGGCCCCAAATTAGTTCTGAGGTTAAAAAGCTTGATTAGTAGAAATTAAAGATAAAAATAAATAAGACAAACGTACCTTCACCATTCCTCGGATCATTGTGCAGTAGGAATGAGCATTTTTCTCTGGGATTAGAGCAAAGATTCTCTCAGCATTGTTTTTTCCTCTGGATACAAAAGAAAAACCGTGAACCAGGGAAAGAGGAAATCAATCATTGTTACCACTATTTACTGACAGTTTATCCTGCTCCAGGTAAGGTGCCAAGCACTTTATGCAGATTATCTCAATATCTCCCAGAGAGGAAGATACGGTCATCAATATTAAACATGGAAAACAAAAACTAAAACAAAAACCCAAGGCTCAAATACCTAATTAGTTGTTTAGGGCATTGCAGTTAAGTGACAGAGTAAGAATTGAAAAGGATGTTCCTGAACAAATAATAAATACCATGGTATCAAAAGCAAAAGGCAAACTGCATGACGGGGCCCCTAGCAAAGTTCCCCCACCCCTCCTCAGTCCTCACGTACATCTCCCAGAGGCAACCACTGACAACTGGTTTCTTTTACATCTTTTCTGTCATATTCTAGCACAAGCACATTTACCTCAGTACCATGTTATACAAATTATCTGTACCTTGATTCTCCCTATGACAACACATTATGGAAATTAGACAAAATCAGGATTTCCGCCAAGATGCTACTCCAAAGTCCTATGCAAAAGTATTAAAATCTACCCCAAGAAATTTAATCTTTCATTCTATCATATTTCATCACTTCAAAAACAATTTTAGATGTTAACAGAAGCTTTCTTCCTTGATAGCCGCATGAAAAACCTTTTATTTAGACACTCAGATTCCCAAATGTAACTAAATGTTTTTCACTTTTTGTTAAGAACTGTTGAATATTTCTTCTTGTTGATCAGAAGTCTTTTTTGTATTTTAATTTTTTTTTTGAAATTAAGCATCTCACTCTGTTGAAGAGGCTGGGGTGCAGTGGCATGATCACGGCTCACCATAGCCTCAAATTCCTAAACTCAGTTGAGCCTTCTAATTCAGCCTCCCAAGGAGCTCTGAATTCAGGCATTGTGACAGCATGTCAGCCTAATTATTTTTGTTGTTGTTAGTAGATGAGGTCTCACTATGTTGTCCAGGTTGATCTCTAACTCCTGGGCTCAAGCAATCCTCCCACCTTGGCCTCTCAAAGTGCTGGGATTACAGGTGTGAGCCACTATGTCCAGCCAGTAGTCTTAAATTTGGCACTACATTCTAGTGTCTGTGTATTTTTAGTAAACGGAATATAAAATATTTCAGAATCAGAGATATATATTCCAGCGTAGCACTGTTGATGAAATTACCAAAGGAACCACATTAGGTGAAGGTTATGCAGACTGAAACGGGCGAAATCAGTGTCAATCTCCAAACAGATTCTCGTGCTACTGGATAGAGGTAAAGACCTTTTGAAAAAAGGAGGTCTGAATGCGTATCAATATAAACTGCTAAATTTACACTGCATAAAAACAAATTTAGAACATCACAGGATTACATCTTCTCCAGGGGGTAATGGGGCATATAGCACACAGTGTAAGAAACTGCAAGAGGCGAAATGTAACGCGGGGACCGCGGCGGCAGGCTGTCATTGTCGGGGGTTTGGTGCCGCGCGTCTCGCTCTCCTGTCACCGCAAAGGCGTCGCGGCGGCTGGCCGGGCCGAGGGCAGAGGCCGGGGGCCGGCGC